CAACTGAGCACTTTCACCACACTGTGTCAGATCCATTGCATTATCCGAGTCATTAGCTGACTCCATGGTGTAAGTTTCATACACAGATCTGATATATCTTTAACAATAAACACACAAAATGAACAATTAAGTCACCTAAGTTGAGGAATTATACTACCTTGCTCTTTGTGCTCTACTGCAAATTCAGGAGCAATAAGTCACTTTTGCCTACGAATTATGCTACCTTGGTCAAACCAATTAAGACACGTTTGCAAAAGATTTATACTACAATGCTCTCTTACACTTAAACAAATTCAGGAGCCATAAGTCACTCTAGCTAACGATTTATGCTACCTTGGAAGAACCAATTAAGGCACGTTGCCAAAGAATTACACTTCAAGGCTCTCTTAAACTGTGACAATTCTACAGTTCACAATTCAGGTATAAATCTCAGTACAACTAACAACTGCTCTTTAGCCAGCTCCTCTTAAAGAACAATACAAATCAAACAGAGTGATCCGGCCAACAACTTTGCAACAGTGTTATATCTGCCTCACTCTTAAAAACGTGTACCTGCACCTGCACGGAATAACGTTTATTTCAATGTGTTCTTTCTCAATATTCAACTGGAGTGGCTCCGGAGCAGGAGTATCACATAAATCAAAACAGATTTCACTGCAAACTTCTTTAAGCAGTCTGTTCACAGCGCATAAAACATGAGGACTACCCTCGGTTCATAAAACATACAGATTGAGGACTACCCTCGGTTCATAAAGCATACACAAATGGAGGACTACCCTCGGTTCTCGGTTCACACAATAAAGTCTGAGGACTACCCTCGGTTCATAAATTCACTTATACAGCAACTAAATAGAACACTTCAGTTAGTGGCTCATATAAAGTCACATGTACTTATTCAATGGAGCACTTCCTTCCAAAATGAGCAATTAAGTCCCTATTGCAAATGAATTACACTACCTTGGCTGTACCAATTAAGTAACATAGCAATAGCCTTACACTACCTTAGCTCTTTGGAATAAACTCTCTGCTCCTCACAAGTGAGTCTAGTGATGAACGCTTACTGATAAAAAAATCAAGACATGCAAGCCTTTAACACCGCGAGATCAATTAACAAAACAATATCCCACCGCTGCCACCAATGTGACGGTACGTGGCGTCTGGGCCGAGCGGAAACCCGAGTGTCACTTTAAAACTCTCACGTGGTATGAGAGCCGGCGGGGAACGTCTGTTGGTGAAAGGATTTTGTTGTGTTGATTTTTATTATCGTTCTGCCACTGATATTATACAAGTAGAATAACAAAGAATGACAAGGGAAATATAATAACTTTGATAAATGTAAAATGATCAATTTAAATTGGAGGAATATGTGAATGAAGAATGATGATAATGAATGGTTTGGCCAATATCTAAATTCTACAATATAGCTCCCTGAAACATTTAGAGCACACTTTGATGGCTAGAAGAGCAAAATGTAATAAACACTGAGTATGGTAGGCTCCTAGCGACTTGGGCTCCAGAGCAAAATACTATATTCAAAATAATGGCTCCACAAAGCTCAATGCACAAAATGAGCAAGCAACAGGCTCCGGAGCAAAGTGTAACATTAAACAAATGGCTCGGAAAGGCTCCGTACACAATAGGAGCAAGCAGCAGGCTCCGGAGTAAAGTGTAGTGCTCAAATAAATGCCTCAGTCAGGCTCCAAACACAATTAGAGCCGGTAACCAGCTCCGGAGCAAAATGTAATGCTCTCAATGAATCAATAAATCAATGAGCCTCAAAGCAAAGCAGGCTCCAGAGCAAAATGCAACGCTCCAAATTAATAGTCAATCAAGCAGGAGCTCTCAATGGGCTCCGGAGCAAAGCACAATGTTCCAAATCAATTGTTAAACGGCAAAACAGGAGCTTTGAGAGCAATTAAGTACCTATTGCCTATGAATTACTACTACCTTGGTTATACCAATTAAGTCACATAGCAATAGTCTTACACTACCTTGCCTCTTTGGAATAAACTCTTTGCTCCACACAAGTGAAATTGGCTCCGGAGCAAAACGTAAGGAGCAGTTTTGGTAAGAGCAATTTGTTACAGATATGGCCAATCTTTAGACAAAGAAATATGAATGTTGTAAATTGTAGCAAAAATGAATGTAATGAGATTGGAATAATTGACAGTAGCACTGGGAATTAAGGGTAAAAATAAGGAATATGCGAAACGTTTAAATTGATAGAAATACTGGGGATAAAGAATTGGTAATAGCGAATGCTTATAAATGGAATACTTGAAACAATGGACTGTGAATTGATTGAATGAAGGAAAGATGTAAAATTGAATTTATTTCCCTTATCACTCTTGAATTGCAATGGAAATTAAGCAGTAAATGTGGACTAGATTGACTCACTTTAGCTTCACTTGTTTATATCAAAACAGACACAGTGAATTTAAATGAACAAATAACAAGACTTTATTGTAATAATTACCTTATATCAGAATACATAGTCACAAGCAGTGCTGAACGACTTTCAGGCTAACAACGTATCTCCGTGTAAACGCAAGATATATCCAGTTATGTTCAATATAAATCCACAAAAATACGATCACCAGTAGCACAAATATCCAGCGTAACTTAATACAGCAATATTAATCCAAAATCTGTTATAAATCCAAAATGATACAATTCTGTTATAAATCCAAAATGTAATCGCAGGTTCTTACTCTTCAGCATTCAAAACTAGACTGATCGTTCTCCTGAACGATCATGAGAAACTTTATATTTTTGACAATCTATTTCCATATAAGGAAGTGCAACTATGACAACAGGTCTGTTAGCTTGCTACAATGTCAAAATAGCTGTCACATCAAAGACTAATAAACCTAGCGCTAGCCTGTCAATCAAATTACTATGTGGGAAAGTTTGAAAAAGTGTCGGCAAAATGCCGTCAGAAATATAAAACTTGACTGAAAATCACTCTTTTTAAATTACAATATCTCCTAAAGTATGAGATCAAATTCAAAGTTTAATACACCATTTAAAAGCTCAATTCACCCTTAATTTAAGAAATAATTATTATAATTTATGGACAAATACTCTTCTCTAAATTTAATGAGAAAGAACACGAGTAAATAAGAACTGAAATCATGTGTGCCAAGCGGCCGTGAATTAAATAAAATCACACGTTTACACTAGTTATTTAAACATGTCTTACTCAAAAACTATTATTCCTTTTTGCATGAAATAAAAATGAATAAATCGTTAAAAGAATGTTCTTTTTAACCATATATAAAACATAATTTGATCTTGATCAGAAAAGCATGAAAATAAAACTTACAAATAAATAAGAAAAATGCGCTCCCGCTACAATATCTTAAAATTCACAAGAGAGGGTGCCAAAAGTTAAAAGTGCCACACGATTAAGAAAGAGAGCCAGAAAATGTAAAAAATTGTCCATTATTAGAAATACGCACCCATTTTTTTCAAAAGGACAATTTTCCTGAACAAGTTGATACATACTTAGTATTCCTGAAACTGAGACCCAGTCTACATATATCGATATATTCTGTCCAAATATCCTATTGCTCAGGAGTGTTCCATGGTGCAAAGGTCGAACACCCGGGGATTTGACACTCCTCAATGGGTGCCCTGTTACACTCCCCTCCATAAGTTAGGCAACATTAGCTCCCCCATTGAACTACGTGTTAAAAGCCTCTTTACCTTTGAATTTTTATTTACTTAACCTACCATGAAAATACTTATACTATTAACGGAAACGTAATTTGACTTTATTTCCAATACCTCAACATTTTCTCAATTTTTTCCCTCAATTACAATAAGTTGAAAATTGATGATAAATTTGATGAATTTTGAAAATCGACATTCCCATGTTAACCAATGGGAAATGATAGGTTTGCCGCAAGTCATATGACAGAATATCCATCCATCCGAGTCCTTGCAAAAAAACGAATAAGGCAGGCAATTGAATTAGTGTTAACTTTATTTAACAAAAAATTGATATGTTTCTTCAGGTTCAACAAAGTTATAGGGCTTTAAAGTCAAAATAGTTTTTCAAAAAAACTTTCCCATTGAAATAACTCAGGAGGCGAAAAATTATTTTCAAAAATGACTTTGAAGCGCTGTAACTTTAGTATTCATCAAATAAACTAAACACTTGGTGTACAAAAAAGTTAGACAATTCAATTTTCTATATAATTTTTTTTTGCTGAATCTTTTACTGAAAATATATCCTGATTTCTGATTTGCCCGAACCCTCCATTTCCCATTGAATTACATGGGAATGACGATTTTCAAAAATTCATTAAATTTATCATCAATTTTCGACCTATTCTAATTGAGGAAAAAATTGAGAAATTTTGGAGGTATTGAAAATAAGGTCAAGTTACGTTTCCATTAATATTATAAGTTATCTCATCGCCGGTTAAGTAAATAAAAATTCAAACCTAAAGAGGCTTTAACACGTAGTTCAATGGGGGAGCTAAGGTTGCCAAACTTATAGAGGGGAGTGTAGTTATATATAAAAAAAGGAAAATCTTTTGTACATGAGACAGCCACATTATAAGTGATTTGATTAACTTAATTTCAACAGTCATCTCTGTAGAAATCTAAAATTGGATTAGAAATTGAAAAATCACCATATCGAGTGTATTTGCTAAAATAAGTAAACCCAGAATACTTGGGTCAATTCAGAATATTTCGGCAGGAGTCGGAATACTTGGGTAGCCCGGAACACTTGGAGCTTCACACACGGGTTTGATCTGAGGCCCAGGGTTTGATCGAACCTCAAACATGGCTAAATTCTAGCACGGGTTTGATCAACCTCAAACACGTGCTAAACTTAAGCACGGGTTTGATCAATCTCAAACACGTGCTAAACTTTAGCACGTGTTTGATGTGTATCTGGCATCGAGTGCTTCTGGATCGCGCGGACATCAATTTTTAACATAGCACCAACCTTTGTGAGTTATAATGTTTCTTTAAATTTGTTTTAGATCGAGATGAATGTAAATTGAACAATGGCCTCTGCGAGCAGCATTGCAAGAATACGATTGGTTCATTCGACTGTACCTGCAATGATCACTATGAACTCTCAAAGAATGGATTGAATTGTGAAGGTAGGAGACAATCAACGCAAGTACTGTTTATTTGAAATATAGTCGCCATTAATTATAGTTGACCTGTGGTTTTACGCTCGCCACGAACACCGACCTACGACTACAACTTGTTGATTTCAAATACAGCGTTCGAGTTTCATTGTTGTGTTTGTTACATGCCTCTGATACTGATAAGGACAATTAGTATACTGGACATATGCAAAAACAAGGAATCGTATTTATGCTTAATGTGCAGAGAATAGTGGATCTTTTTATGAAGGTAATATTGTTCCTTTGGTCGTACTCCTACATGTTTCTACTTTATCGTTTCAGATAAGGACGAATGTTCTTCTGGCCAAGTAAAGTGTTCCCCACCATACATATGCATCAACTCGTTTGGAGGTTACCAGTGTATATATGACAGTAAAGAAGGTACCAGGATACATTTTACTTTGATTAATGGTCATTTACTTGTATTATGTATATTGACTTTTGATGTTAAAAATCGCTTTAGGAATTCCAACAGACTTAATGCGAGTAGAAAAAATCTTGATTTACGTCATTAGATATTCATAATTCAGTCAACGTGATGTCATATTTGAAACCTACATTTAAAAGTACATCTAGAAATATGACCCGAATGAGCAACCTGGTGGTGAAACTGGTAACTACCTACTCGCATCTGAGCAACTCTGAGTGTCTTAACCGTATAAAAATTCAACATTGAATGAATCAACGGACAGTAACTTGGAAAGTAGTAGTACAGTAGTACAGTAACTGTAGATGATAAGCAATTTTCTTGCCGTTTAACGTCATTACTCAGCTAAACATAAATTTAATATTTTCAGAGGTTAAAAGCATAAAAGACCTGATAAGTAAGCCACCAAAGCTAGTGGACATTAAGCCAAAACTTACAGAAATCAAAACGGAAATCGAAAACGATATTGATGACAAAATGAATGACAAAATCACACAATCCAACACTGCATGGGTGCCCCTAGCTATATGGGTTGCTATAACAACACTCGCTGTTGTTGTTATAGCTTTCGTAGCAGTCAAGATGTACCGAACCAATAGAAACCAACAGAAATATATCGTCAGACACAGACACGAAACTCGATATATGAAACAAAGGATATCCGATCTAACAAATTTAGTCAGTGTTAATAATACACAATCACGCACAATCACTGATTCTACAAACATGTCAAATTTCAAAAGCTCAAACGGCAGCCACGACGCTTTAGAGCCGAACTTCCTCTGTGATAAAAAATCAGACAATACCAGTAAAACAGTTCAGATTTTTCCTATGTTCGGTGAAACCATGCATATTGGAGAGGCCTCTGCTGTACCCCAAACCCCTGCCCGAAACGGAGAAAGTCTGTATATGGAAAGCACTACTACTGAGTCCAATGCGGAAATTCTTGAAATATCAGACGTTGACATCCATGTGGAAAATACTGCTGAAAATGGCAAAACTTGTGATATTGAAAATGCAAGAGAAAGGTGCATGAATAGTGATGCTGTATTAGGAGAAAGTAATCAATGCAAGAATATCGATTTAGAAAATGTAGGAGAAAATAGCAGCACCCGTGAGATAAATAATACCAGAGAAAATGGTGTGAGCTGTGATGCCAAAAATGCAGGAGTAAATGGAATTGGTGATGATATTGATATTTTCCAACCCCCCTCTGCCCAACCCCCCTTATCCCAACATCCCTTATCCCAACATCTATCAACACAACGCCTATCAACCCAACATATGCAGCACTCGGAAGAAAATATCAAGCCTTCTAATGTTGATACCAAACACCATACAACCCTCCAACAGGCAATCCAATACCTCTCAACCCAACGCGCACTCAATCTGAGAGAAAATACAAAGCATTCCGGTGTTCACAGTACAGGAGAAAATATCAAGCCCTCTGATGTTCACATTGCGGGTGAAAATGTTAAATCTCCCGATCTCCATACTGCGGGTGAAAATGTTAAACCTCCCCATGTCCATACTGCAGGAGAAAATGTCGAGCCTCTCGATGTTCAAACTGCTGGAGAAAATATCAAGCCTTCTGATGTTCACACTGCGGGTACAAATGTTAAAACTCCAGATGTCCATACTGCAGAAGAAAATATTAAGCCTCCTGATGTTCAAACTGCAGGAGAAAACATCAAGCCTTCTGATGTCCTTAGGCCTGCTGCAGGAGAAAATTTCAAACCTTCTGATTTTCATACTGCAGGCGAAAATATCAAGCCCTCTGATGTTCACAGTGCGGGTGAAAATAGGATCAAGAATTTTGAAACCAAAAACATTGAGAAAAATGACAAGACGACAGATACACCAACTCAAGGCGAAGACAACAATAGTCATATCATTGACATTCTGTTTCCTATTCGAAATGATAGTGGATATAACAGAGATCCTTTCACCCCAGGAGTTCCAAACGATGACCCCCCGGCTCCTCTCATTACGGCAGAAGACCACTTACAATGAAAACTACAGGGTAGTGACCTATACCTTTGGTTTTACTCTAATAATTTTGATGGAGTCTTCTTGAATTTTCTCGTGTAAAAAGTTTTTCACCACGATTGCGAAAGTAATTCCAAATTGAGTGATGACATTTTGGGCACCATTTTCACCCATTTGTTTTACTCCAGGCCAGTAGAATCATATGATTGAATGAAAATTTAATTTATAGCATGCTTCAGTGTTGTAACGTCAATAATGTACATAATAATGTAGTTAATTATGTGTAGCACTGACAGTGCTATTAATTAATAATATATCAGTGCTATATTATAATGTTAAAAGTGCTATTAATTCGTTGTTGTAATATCATTTATAATATTAATGCTATGCTGTAATGTTAAAAGTGATATTAATTCGATGTTGTTATATCATTAATAATATTAATGCTATGCTGTAAAGTTAAAAGTGCTATTAATTCGATGTTGTAATATCATTTATAATATTAATGCTATATTGTAATGTTAAAAGTGCTATTAATTCGATGTTGTAATATCATTAATAATATTAATGCTATGTTGTAAAGTTAAGTGCTATTAATTCGATGTTGTAATATCATTAATAATATTAATGCTATGCTGTAATAATAAGTGTTTTGCGATGTTGTAAACTTGTAAAACCAATATAATCAATTTTGTGTTGCAATGTCATAAGTGTTACTAATAATATGTTGTAAGGTCAATAATGTTATCAATGATGTGTTGTTATATCAGAAGTGTTATTTTTTTGGTATGTTGTAATATCCCAGATGCGAGTAGAAATAATCTTGGTTTACGTCATTAAAAATTCACAATTCAGTCAACCTGATGTCATATTTGGAATTTACATGTAAAATTACATTTAGAAATGTGGTTTTGAAAAGAGTTAATCAACTTTGAAAATTTAATTTTCTTTGAAAATGTGACTTCTAGGTCGGGGAGATTCCCCATAGAGCCCATGTTGTAAAACCACAAAAAGTGAAATATCTTTTCTTGTGTTGGGCAGATAATATTTTCTTTTACTGGACATATTTTAATTTGTATAACTATCAGATACATAAAGGTAATATGAAAAGTGAACCATTAAAACTCATGCATATTCAAGTTTAAGGGAATTTTGTAATACCCTGCCATGTTAATTCCCCCGAATCAGCCACCTGGTGGCGAAACTGGTAACTACCTACTCGCATCTGAGTAATTGTGATGTCAATAAATGTTATTGATAATATGCTGTAATGTTGAGAATGTTATTAATGTTGTATTGTCAATAATGTTATTAATGATGTTGTATTGTCATGTTATTAATGATGTTGTAATGTCAAAAATGTTATCAGTGATATGTTGTAATGTCAAAAATGTTATTAGTGATATGTTGTAATGTCAATAATGTTAATAATGATGTTGTAATGTCAAAATGTTATTATGCCATGTGTTGTAATGTAATTTATGTTGTATAGTAGTGGCATGATGTTGTTATGTAATACACTTGTAGTTAATTGATAAAGAATTGTTCAAACATAATTGTTTTGTTTCAAGAAAAAATTACAGGGTGTCCATAAAATAGTTTTACGATCACCATACAAAGTCTATGTAAAGTGTAAACAAACGTTATAGACACCCTGTATATTACTGTTTTTTGGAAAAATTGAATTGTTATTTATGCTTTAACTTATATGCAAGACTTCCATAATGCTATTATTTAAGACTGGTTATGGTGTTAAGCTGAATAAAGAAACGGGTAATTATCACGTATATAGAAAACCAAAATAATATATTTCTACATGAATTGTTTGTATTTTGTAAAGATTGTTATCGACTGTATCTCAAATATTATTAAATAAATTATATTTCTACATAAATTCTACAATTTATCAAATTATTAATAAAATGAGCCCATTTCTACATTAAATTATTGTAAATCAAGTGTAATTGTAGTATCCATTTGAGAGCGTAAACTTCGTCAGATCAACAATTCTACTACTGCACATAGCAGAGGCGTCCCCAGGATTTTTCCAATGAGGGTGGGGGGGGGGGGTCGTCTATATCTAAACAGTCTCCATCATCCTAGCTTACATATGAAGCTTTGCTACTCCACATAATTCGCCAGAACACCAGTTATTTCCTCGGAGCCCCCCCCCAGCACCATTTAGGAAACGAACAAAACAAAAACAGTTGCAGAAATACATGCAATGTGGTCGTAAAGCCTCAGTCACATTTGCTCTACGGCGGCCGTACGGCGACCGTACGGCGACCGTAGCTTCACAAAATCGATATAGAAAACCTATATCGCAATTCTTATCATTATGCTGTATATTTCTCTCGATTTTGGGAGGCTACGGCCACCGTACGGTTGCCGTAGATCAAATGTGACTGTGGCATTAGCAATCGACCTTTCCAGTGAGCCTTTTTCCGCTTGTGCAACACCCAGGAAATCAATTAACGAGACCCATGATGTCAAGACTTGCAATGAGCAACGTTTCCAACCAAATAACTGGATTTACTTTGTGAATATTCTTACGACTGTGATTGCTTGATCATAAATCTGAAAAAATAAATCAACTTAACTTCCCAAGGCAGCCTTTATTGGGCAGGTATACCGAACATGTTTCAGAATATAAAAAACAAACAGGTATAGGATATTTTGGGGCTTAAACCTTTTATTATTAAAGTTTTGCAATACATTCCGAGTAATATTATATTTTGCCTATGTCTAATATCGAGCAGATCGGTCCCTACAGTCATGGACTTTTAACTAAAAAACCCATGCTACAGTATTACAGTCTTGCTTCAAGAGTGTGAACCACTTGTGTTCAGAAGGTGAAAATATACGGGAGGGGGCACGACAGTCTTGAGGCAACACTATATTAAGTAGAAACTGCAAATTAAAGTACCATGGGGAGATCTAAGTATACGTCATGATGGCCGAAGATCGAACCCTATCACTTCAAGGGATTTAATTGGTTCCTTGAAGCATATTCGGCCATCTTCGTGACATAACATCTTCGGCCATTTCCGTGATATTACATGTTCGGCCATCTTCGTGATATAACGTCTTCGGTCATCTCCGTGGTTTTGTGATTTTTTGATTCATCTAGTCAGGGCATCTAATAATTGCGTTTTTTATACTGAAGACGTGTCTGATAATGTTGAGGATGCCAGTAATGTTTTAACTCCTAATATGTTCAAATCAACACCGTGTCATTTAAACGCAATAGTCACCACTGACGATGCACCACGTTCGCCCACGATGTAATCACACCGCCGCTTGTTATTTCGGGATATAGAGATCATACACACATCCCTGGTTATACGCATTGCCAGAGAGAATGTCTCTTGTAAGAAAAGTCCAATTGGTTTGTGCAGTGATCTTATTAGCAGCGACTTTTTGCATAATCTATAGTCAATCAGAGCATCGTTACAAATGCCATTTTGCCAATAATTTCAAGACCAACAATTTCTGCCAAGTAGTGTTTTCTCACACCCAAGTGGCTATTACAACAAGTGTAGTGGCAAATCCGATGGTTGCTCCAAATGCACTCAAGATATATAAATGTTTCTTGTCTCTGGCACGATGACTTAGCATTAGCTCGATCTGAAAATAAAACATGCTTTTTATGTATGTAGTCAAAGAAAGATGGCAGGGTAAATAATGGCGGGAAATGATTACAGTCCCCCGCTTTTACAAAGTTGTTCATCCCTGGATAGCTTGGAAATCTGATTGGAATCAATTTCATAAACCAGCTTTGTGATGAAATATGAGGTTTTCAACCGAAGTCAATTAAGTATTTATAGACAACTGGAATTGATCTCCGATATAAAACATGATATGAACAATTGAATCCAAGTTGTTTTTACCACTTAGTAATGGCACCATGCGGAAGCTGACTTCAACCAGGAAAGATTGGACCTAATGGTAAATTAAGGTTCCACATGAAAACCATGGATTAGATTTAGAATCCGGTCGTAAAATGTGGTGGTAATAGTGGTAATATATGATGGTAATATGTATTCATATATGAAGGTAATAAAAAATATCCTACATGAAATATGTGTAACTTAATTAGCTGATCTAATAAGTCTAGTTGATTGGTATTAATGGTATAAAGTTATTGCTTTGAAGTCTGACAAACTAAAAGGGAGTGGTGATTTCTGGATATTTTATCTTTTTCTTGCAAACCGTTTTTCCGGTGCACTAGTGGATCCAATGACTTGCACAAGTAAATTATATAAATTCTGAAACTCCGGGCCTTTTTATATCTGTATGGCCATAAGAATTTATGAGACCGGTGCTAATAAAACCCGTTCGCGTTGTATTTTAAAGTATTACCGGCCATTTTTAAAACCTTACCCAACCACCCTGTTGTTGTATCCATCCCACTAGTTTATTCTCCACGACGGTTGCCACTGCATCCACAACTGTGTTCACAAATTCCCCGTGGCTCTGCTGTACACAATCTACACTGAACGAACCAGCGAGGGGAAACAGCGATACAATCCTCCCCCATGTTATCCGTCCGTCCTCGAATATGTTCTCGACAACTTGCATAAAAGTTTCACGCACTATTTTCTCTGAGTTCATTGTTACTGCAAGTTGTCGACTAATATTTTTGTAAACATCCGGGTGATTTTTCTCCATTTCTGACCCAAGGTATTGTATTTGGAATGAAATGTCACTAGATTTGGCGGTTGCTTGTAGCGTCACTTTTTTGTTTAACAACCCCATCTTTCGGAGTTTATGATAAATGTAGTCTTTGCATATAGTCCTGCCTTGCATTGCTATTTCTTTCTGTGTAGCCATTTCTGTTAAATTCCAACCAAACTCTGAAAAAAGATTAAGCCAGTCATGTATTATCACTTTCTGACCAATCAGTGCGTAGTACGAACACATATTATTTAAAATGCTAATACAAGTATTTATTTTTCTCTAGTTAACTATGTCTCCGTGAAAATAATTTAAGCACTAAATACATATTTGAGCAACAATGCATTCATTAAATTATTGAACTTAACAGAACAGTCGTCTTATGAGCTCGTTTATAACCTCGCACGCGATGAAACTCCAGGCACTATTTCTCGCCCTATCTTAGTTCTTGTTCATTGATGTTTCCCAATAATGCATTTTGGAATCCATCCTCTAAGCGTAGAGTTAAATAGCTGAGCTCATATTCTATTTCAAAATAATTAATTTGTGCGAAAATTCAAATGTGATTATAAACAGATAATGTAATTGTCAATACTCTTGGAGAATTGAATCAGGACATCAATCCAGAAGGTGCTGACATTTTCGTTTGAAGTATTGTCGAATAAAATACATTCCAGGATTTTTTTTATATCTCCTGATGATAACATTAACAATTACATCCCACTTCGTGCACATCTAGTAGTTTTAATACTAATTTTGTAACCATATCTACATAGCATAATGTATGTATTGAATGACAGTCGCAGTAATCCATACAAAAAGTTCGTTGTTTATTCTAATGAGTCACGATCTGTATGTATATATACAGGGTGTCCAAACAAAACAGGACCGTAAGAAAGTTGAATAACTCGGTCAATTTTGCATATTTTGCCTTGAAATTTAAGAATTATTTAGTTCATTCAATGCGAATTTTGTTCTGAAAGTTTGATGATAATCTATTTATTGTGTCAAAAACTACAGTCTTTTACAAAACATGCTCAAAGTGGGCACTTCTCCTCCTCCTCCAAATTTTATCGGAAGCAGGATCGATGCAAGTCAATTATTTATACTGTTAATTCATCGCCCGTCATTAATGTTGGGTGTATTATGTAATTAATGCTCTAGTTATAGAGATGTTTCCTTTCATGTCCGTGATTATGTTTAATATCTACCATCGTATACGTAATACTTATATCTCAAGGCTAAGTAAGGATCATCACGACATCGAAGTTAAAGGTAGAATCAGAGCAACCTTAAGAAAAAATTGTCCCAGTTTTAAAAATATCATTCCATGTCATGTTTCATCTTCTAAAAATCTTGTCCTATTGCTTAGGATATGACGCAAATAGAAAGTTTAAGCTAGCACTATTTTTCACAACCTAAACGCGAACGTAAGTTCTTTAAGCGATGCATTTGTATGGGCAATTGGTCACACGTATAGGTTGGCATTTCGATTTTATATGCAAGCTTAGACTCCCTAATAGCAGATATGACGTTGTGATTAAACGGAATCTCGAATTCTTACGTTTTCATCGTTTCGTCGAAAAGCTTAAAAGAATTACCATTTGTACAGTGTGAAATCCATCAGTCCATTGTTCTAGAAACAATAAGTTTTCTAATGGTATATTCAAACCTTAAGGCACATCGTGTCCCACTTTAACCCCCTAATATTGAACTTATTCTGCTGATGTTGTAATATAGTCGGGCGTTTTTTCCTTAAAAATTTGCCTCAAACATGTACCAACGTATATATCCATCCGTCGTGTTTTCCCTACAGTGTGAGCTCAGGTGGTACTTTTCTTTTACCATGGTGTACGCCTTAATTAGAGCTACCAGCTCCATGTACGTAGCACAATGACCGAATTGCGCTAAATGCACATCGCTTCTTAAGTTCATTCAGGTAAATACATGTGATATATTACATACTAAGATGTGTATTGTTGACACTTTTATAAATCATATCTGGAAACTTTTATGACATCGTGAGGGTCCCAACAAGAGGTCGTCTGGAAGCGATATAATTCAGATCTCGCATATTGTATTCACGTTATAACGTATTATCATATTTTGTATCCTATATACAGGTATTAATATTTAACTATATGCTTCCGCATGGTAGATCTTCCGAAAATACTTTTTTTCCATTTTGGGATTTTTTGTCATGTTATAGAAAAGCCTTTTAGTAAACAAGTCCATTCGGCATCGGTGCGTGTTTGACTAAGGCTAAGCCCAGTGTGTCCCAATGTTTGCTCGGGTACAATGAAATGTTCATAGGACTCATAGACTTAACCAGGGACTAAGTATTGTCAGAGACTCAGTTAAACTGCTCAATGGGACTCTACGTAATCGTGTCACTCCGTTTCGTTTTCCCCTTTAGGTGCCTCAGGTTTTAATAAATATACAACACGACATCGTGACCTTCAAATAGAGAATTATTAACTTAATCATTCATTTACTGCTATTACTATATTAACAGATATATATTGTGCTATATGCACATGTGGGCCACATGTTTAATCTTCAAGCTTGGCTTTTTGATATACTTTTCATAGGGAACATTTTGTCATGAAGCCATTTCAATGCCTTATGGTTCTTATGGTTCCAATGTTATTCAGAAACGTTGTTAAGAAATTGGAAAATGTATTTCATGAAATATCTGCAATTCCTGGAGTTACCTTTGACCTGTTAGCTAAAAGAAGACAATGTAATGATACTCCCCTGAAAAAAGCTGGGAAATACACACATGCCTTCATACTTTATATATTTTGAGCCAGAAAATAACATGTGCAGGATATGATTTTTCAAAAATGTTTTCGTTCCACAAGCACCTTCACCCCTCATTTATAGATCCCTTTACAATTGCCATTAGACCATTTAGAAATGATATGTACAGTACTCAAGTACAATAATTTGTCACATATTCCTGATCTAAGTACTCAAAGTTCAATTGAATTTTGGCAGTGCTACTGATAGCCTCTGAAATTAAATTTTGTTTCAACGACGGTTGGATAGATATTTAATATCATTCCAAAGAATTGGTAGAAAAGAACAAAAAACAATTTACATATGACAAAAAACAAAAATTATTAACTAAAACAATTATATAAAGATAATATACGATTATTGTTCAAATCAAATTATTGTCATTTGACGACCATTACAACGAGGATGTGTATTTCTTCTGATTGTTTTTGATAGTCGGTTGAGAGAAAAAATAATGTTGATCACCAAACCGCAACCCGTCCTTTATGACAATTTTGAGGATAAGTGATCAACTGTAATGATAAGTGATTTGATCAATGATCCAAAAGGAGTTGTCAAACTTATGGAGGGGAGTGTACATGTATATCTATTTATTTAGCCATGTACGGCCTAGATTGATCTGTTAATAACTAATTATCACATTACAGCCTGCCTATGTTCAACACATCAATAAATCAGGGTTATAATCTGAGACAAATAAATGCATTTCTTGTGTAAAACGAAGAAATAAATCTTCAGCAGAAAATGAGCACGTTAAAATTATTGCATATGATACGTCATCAATTACAAATATCATTTAAGACGACACTAATAAAGACTATTGATAGCGGACCAATTTCTTTTTTTATAGTCCTTGGGCAGGCCAGGGGGACAGGCCTAAAGAGAGCATGTGGCATGGGGGGGGGGGTCGACCGTCAATTTTTTTCGATTTTCAGTTAGGGGGGTGCGATTGTGGCATAAAAAAGCCAAAAAAAGATTTATCTTGAACTTTTAATTATAAAAATTGATGCAACAATTGAGATGGAAGCTTCAAATAAAAAGCATTTTAAAGCTATTTTCTTCTCTCTCATGGTTATAACCCATCGCACCCCCTGGCTACGCTTATGTATATGAAGTATATCAATATAGCGAGACAGAAACAAAGAACATCTCAGAGAAACACGTAAGGGGCGAAGTATTCCATAAACAAATATCAAAGATTCAGTAAATCTTCATTAGGCATATCTTCAAGGGATCTTCAATCTAAAAATATAGTCTCAAATACCTGGAAATGCTTATAACCTTCTAGAGCCAACATTTGTATTGCAAAATAAATTGATATTAAGAAACATTTTATTAGACCTTGTGCCATTGATTGCAAAAATGAATGTCTCAATTTACCTAAATACCGAACGGCAACATTTGCGTTCAAACAATAAAAAACGTAATATATAAAACAAATTACCATAATGATTAAATTCATGATTAAATTCAAAAAAGTAACAACTGTATATAAAAGAGTTTAATGCAGTTGCTAGTTTTTCTTTTACCTCGAGATTATAGACAAAATAAATCTCAAGAAAGATCTTATTTTAAGTGTATCACCAAAATATATATTATTAAGTCTATGGAGTACTTTCCTAACTTAAGTACTAAAGGAACTCGAGTAGTAGTTCCTATCAACTAATACCACCGACGGTACTTCCGTTGGATGAGCATATCTAGTCGTAGAATAAAAGGTGTATGGGATTATAAGGAATTTCTCAATCTAGCGTAACGATAATTCCGAGATTATTTTTCTTCCGTCCATGGATTTTCTAGAAAATACAAATGATATTTGATATACAAAGATCACGTCGATGTAGCATTTCCCAATAGGTATTGTTCATTCTTTTACAGCCAACGCAATAGTTGATCGTTTATGATTTATTTGTCTTCAGCAACAGGCCAATAACGAGCCTTCAGAAGAACACAATATACTCTGGATATGGTTATCGAACTCACCTTTCCCCTTCCGTTACCCAACTTTTTATCTGAATTTAAACCAATGTAAAATTAAGCCCTCTGATTGGTTAGCTCTTGTGCTGTACCAATCTGTATTGCTACTGAGATTGCTCCCATTGATCATCTCCATAGCAATACAGAAAATATTGGTACGGAGGGGACATTCACAGTAGCAATACAGAGGATCACACGATAAAAACGTTATAATGATTTGAAGTGCAATGCAGGATATATTCTGCTCTCGATATTCTGTATTGGCAGTCGACTTCGTCTCGTTCCAATACGGAATTTCTCGAGCACAATATATCCTGTATTGCACTTCATACCATTCAATAACTTATAATATTATACTTTTAATCCGTAAATGACCGGTAAAGCACGGCTAATAGTCACATCTAATTATTTCAAGGTTCTACCTTTACGACATTGACTCATTGGTAAGTTAAACAAGCTGGGCTCGGAAAAGAATAATGTACCTTCTTTGTCTGAAGATTTATCACACTTCGAGGCCACATCTTGTATTTAATACACTCAGACAGCAGAGGCTAGTTATAAAGTAAGCCGAAGCTATCTTTTAAGAAGCGCAGTCGAACTAATGCGAAGGTCGAGGGTAATTGTGATGCACCCCATCTCATCAAATAACTAATTAGAGAACATTGACATCATGCTCTAGCCGGAAAAGGGTAATTTGTATGTATTATACTTTAAATGCGGTAATAACTATACAGAACTACATTATTAAATTAATGACCCCTTCTACATTGGTTTATAAAGACGTAATTACTACTCTTACTTATCAATTTAGTACACGAACCAGATAGGGCCATATAGCAGGGGGACAATTACAATGTATCAAAGCGGACAATACTTTCTTTATAATTTACACTGGTCTGAATTTTCTTAGTCTTACCGATCGAATTATGGTCCCACTCCACTATCTAACAGAGAGGTTAAGCTACACGTTCGTTTTTAAGAAAACGTGTACGTGAACTTGTTATAGAACACACAAGTCGTATTTACTCATTTCCAGGGGTAAAATTGAACTATTCTCCTCATACATTTATACTCAATCGGGAACGGTGATACTACGACGGGAGAGCTAATTTTACACATTCACGTGGAAATTCTCTTAAAAACGTGTAGCTTAACCTTCCCATATCGTGACCTTATTGACAACTCTTTCTCACATTATACTAAAGGGACCATAATTCCAGTCGTTGGACTATGATATTATACTCAATCAGCTGATTGGCCCTTGTAAATGAGGGACCATAATTCTCGTTGTTGCACAATAATATTTTTCACACTGGCCACTATCTAAATCTATAGACCTTTCCAGTACACCCTGCCAACTTTTGGTAAGGCTATATCATGGACACTATGATATATTTGGCAGGCTATGGCTCTTTCTTTTCAAAATTAGCAGTAAGATAATCATATTTTTGCTTGGACAGATTATACAACCTGCAACCAATGACATCATCAATCAATTAAGCCAATTTATCATAACCTTTTTGGTGTACCAAAAGGTGGCAAGATTTATTGAAAAGGTTTATTTTATACGTATTCGAATACCTTCTTGTAAATCATAGCCAAATGTGTCTCGAAGCTTCTTTGCCATCTTGGTCAATTTCGGATTCCTCATTAGGCGTCTCGTGAAGGACCGATCATTTTGGGCCATTTTTGAGAGCTTGAATACACTATACTCGTAAATGGACAGCAATATATAATTTGCATATGTATCCTACATAAAATTCACTCGATCGTTTCTAAGTTCGAATTTACTCGTGGTTCAGTTGTAATTAACTCGTATCCTAAATGAATTTTACTTATCCAAATTTAAGTCCACTCCTCTCTCGGAATTAAGTCGTATCCTATCTTTACTGAAATGCTCTTGAATCCTAACTAAAATTCTCTCAAGTCTCAGCTGGATTACCATGTTTCCTAAATATTATAATTCTCGTAAAATTTACGCATGAGCCAAATCTTGGCCTTGCTGAAATTACTTATATTCGTAATTTGAAACACAGAATCCATTCGCAATTTGAGTGTATACCGAGAGGCTATATGTCCAAGTCTGTTCCCCAATATACTTGTGATATGAAGTACACTATTGGATATTCTCCTTCTACTTTGATTGTCAATTTTGTATTGATTTGCAGCCTCAATGATGTCTCGCTATTGAACCGTATCGAATTCCCAATAGTTTTAAATGTCTTGTCATTATTTTAGTTCAATATAATGTTGTTGGTATTGACATATCCTTGCTTTCCAATGGTAACGTTTTTACCTTGTCGTGGTATATATAAGGTTATCACACCTGTATTTCTTAATGAATGCACATTCAATGACCAAATATGGTTGTATGTGCGCTGATGTCATGCGCAAAGAGGTCTAAACTTGTTCCCATCTGCCCAGCTTTCTTCTGCAGTGCTACGAACAAATTGTTGTTATGATACAATTAGTTAGGTTTAAAATCGTTATAGGGCCTATGCCTGCATGTCGCCGATAGCCTTATATATATCATTCACTTTCAACTGCATATTCGAGTAGGTACTTTCAAGTCCTTTGATAATAAAATCCACGATACGAGGGTTGACCGAAAGGTGATTTAATCCAGCAGTGAAGCTTTGTATAGGTGCCAAGAAACTACTATCTGGCTCTGATTTTTGAATGAAGCATTGATGCTGAGAAGATCTGACTATCGTCAATTACATTTTTCCCCAGAAGAATAATGAACGTCGTTCCTTTATCGTTAAGTCTGAAGTACTTTAGGTCTATACACACCCATGATGGCTAGGTTTTGATTTTTTCAAGCTCATTAATTATAAACAATAAAAATATAAAAATTGTTTTTGGAAAAGTTTTTGGTTAACCCTCAAGCAATGCGTGCTTAAAAGTTGAATCTCCTTTTAACCTTTTTTGTTTACGGCATGTCAAACACATTTAGTTGTCAGTTCGTATACTGTATCTTTGTGTATAAACCATATGAGTTTCAATTAAAATCCACCCAGACGTTTAATCAATGAATAAAAAATAAAATCTTGATTTTGTCAAAAATAAATTCATGATATTCCATTCATCATATCTGCGGCGTTTAAACCGTTATACGTGGGAAAATGTGAGAGAACAATCTTTATTTACATTAGATAACACATCAAGTGATAATAATTCCAAAGCACTTAGATTGATTGTATCCCATCCTGCAGAGAAGAAAAGTTCTATTTTCTTATCTTGGCACATTTGACGTTTTAAGTGTTCTGCAGAAAGTTGTCTTTACTTGAATTTTGTGACCTTGGGTTGACCTTGATCTTTTGTATTTCCTTGGTTTCCTCTAGACATTAGAGGGGTTAATTCATAAGTTACACGCATTTGGAAGAATTTGTCCTAAGCGTGTATTATTATGCCCCCCCCCAAAGGCCAGGAATTGTTGTCCACCTTTTAATTCATAAACTGGTATCTTAGTACAGCTGTATTCCTCACACCTTCATACTGATTAGGGACAAATCAAGGCCAACGAGGTAGATATAGTCCATAGGGGACCATAACTAAACACGTTTCACGTACACGTCCTTTATAACAATAGGGAGGTTAAGCTTGCATATAAAATCGAAACGCCAACCCATATGTATGACCAATCGCCCGTACAAATGCATCGCTTAAATATTTTCCGTTCACGTTTAGGTTGTGAAAAACATTGCAAGCTTAAACACCCTAATGTTCACTTAGCCGCTCCCTATTGGGGGTATGTGTGCCCTAAATTAAGCGTACTTGTCTCTGACTAATTAATCGTCTTACATTTTTCACAACGTTGTAACCAAAACTGGAAGAGTTATCAAATGGGAAATTCGAATTGGTAAATGAAAACAAAATTAACATAGACACGTATCGATTACTTAAAAGCAAAGTTCAATTGTTATATATCATTGCTCTCAAATGCCCTTTAAATTAAAGTTTAATGATAAGGTCGTATTGTTGAACACGAATGCCATTAATTCCTTGGCGCAAGTTAAGTCACTGGGATATCTAGCGAGCAACCTTTCCAAAAAATTATTTCAATTTTAGAATATTTTAGGCTCGTAACATTCCTTTTCATATATATTTTTTCAAATTCCTCAAGGTTCATGTATTTTTCCAAGAAAACTGACGATTTCGACAAATATTTGCTCATTGTTCTATTAATGTATAAACGTGGATATCTATACATTAATTGATTGGGGGATTTTACACATTTTTGTACCCTTTGCATTCGTTTGACTTCACTTCTTAAAAGAGAGCTTCGTCTTCAGTAGTTTAACTAGACTCTGCACGCAGGGTAACATTTTTGCACTTTGGATCTCAAATAATCTCATCGCTTGATAAGACACCGTGGGTCTTTGAGAGATTATATAATCGAGATCATGGTAAAGAATACATTGAATAATGTTGGTAGATCAATGCAACGTGTTCTAATGTTGTCATCTTATACCACTGATTCTGCCTTTAATAACCAATTCATAAAAACAATTTTACATGTATTAAAGTGACAATATATACTTATTCTGAAAAATTGTATTGAAATTGCTATATTTTTCATAGCAAGCCATGCTTGCATTTCTTTGAGTAATACATAAGTAAAGTCAAGATGTTCGTTTTATGTCAAATTGAAGCAGCGTTCCAATTGAGTTCGTTTATCATGTTTTTATGCTTGTGGAAGCAAAAGGGTCGCAGGGGAATATATTTTTTGATACGGCAAATCTCATCATTTCCTATACAGAATTCTCAGAACCCAGTAAATTATTATGCCTCGTGCCATCGATCGATCGGTCACTGACCGGGACTTGATGTTCGAATTCACGGGTGAAGGCACCGTCATCTTGCAGGGGGGGGGGGGGATTATTCTCTACACGTGTGGATCGAGTAACTTCAATAGTATTACCGTATTGAACTGATGTTAACGCCATTTCCACGATATGTTCACATGATCGTATCCTGCAATTTGATTGGAGACGATCCGGGAGATGATATCCCCGAATACGATAGAATATGAAAGAATTATGGGAGCTAGTACTCACTTCTTCTGGTCATCTTGGATTACGAAGATTTGAACTTTACATTGGAAATCAAACTAGTAATCAAGTTTGGGCACCAAATCGCCATTTTAACGCCCCTGTCTTTTGATTTTGGATACAAACAGTTGCGGATCTGAAAGCTAAGTAAGGGGGGGGGCACATTTCAAGTCAGAAAAAAACATTTCAAACCAAGGCCCAAAAAGCCGTACTAATTGAGGCCCTACAAAATGGGGGGGGGGGGGTGTAGGTTTCCTCCTCCCACTATGATAATACTACATGTAGTTAAAACCGACGTTGGATCATAGATACTTGATTACATTACATTCACACATTGAAATGTGACATGCAGCCATGCAATAGTCTAATTTACTTGGGTGTTTACGCTCATATCGTTATCTGACTACAGCTGACTGAGGCAAAATAATAACATATAAATCCTACACTTCAATTATCAGTCAGAAGTTACAATGACCTTATGTACCATATACTAATAGATAAGTTTTATTTATGTATCAGTTCCCTCAATTTCTCTACTACTCAATTCTGAACTCCACATTCCCTATTAAAGTATTTTTAGGTTTAATACTATTGTATACTATTATATGTTGCAATATATATCGTATAGATATACAGTCAATTTACTGTGCTGCATATGGGCTATTGAAAATATATATACGTACATGTATCTTTATCAAAAACTATAAAATAAACAACTTATAAAAGGCAAAACTGTAATGTCTCAGATACATAAATCATAAATATTATACACGATAATGTACATCAATTAGTACCTTGGTAAAATTAGACTCGAGGGTCTACTCTCACCGATGAATTATGAAAGATTGTAGACTCTGATCGTCTATTGCCAAACCTCAAGAGGCCACTCTGCTCTACACTGCTCCGTATTAAAATATGACATGAATCACCATCACATAATTCACATAAATAGATATTACGAGGGGTGATCAAATAGTTAGTTGAGTGTCATCGTAAATCTACGAGGCATCATTTTATCATCCGAGGGGTGATCCAATAATTATTGGATTGTCATATTAAATCTACGAGGCATCATTTTTATCATCCGAGGGGTGATCCAATAATTATTGGATTATCATATTAAATATACGGGGCATCATTGTTTCACACGAGAAATGATTAAATAATTATGGCCATGGATTTCTGTCGTAAATTTTCACCATTTTATCATACGAGGGATGATCAAATAATAATAATAGGCTATCATCATTCCATTATTTTATCATACGTGGGATGATCAAATAATTAGTTGAGTGTCATGGTAAATCTAAGAGGCACTTTATCATACGAACGATAATAAATAGGCTATCATGAGACAAGTACGAACGATAATAAATAGGCTATCATGAGACAAGTACGAACGATAATAAATAGGCTATCATGGGACAAGTATTATATCATACGTGGGATGATCAAACAATTACTGGAGTGTCGAGATAAATATATAAGACAATATTGTTTCACACAATTATGATTAATTAGTGGACAGTGCTTCAATCTCTTTTAAATGGATCTCTCCATGGTACATATTTTCTTGCTGTCAAGAACACAATTAAAGATTGTATTTACCTCGAATTCCTGTGAATATTTTCACGATGTCTACGTATTCTCTCCACATTAAAAACATCACAACGGATAAATTGGTCTAATCCACTAATAAATCTAATGTCACTCAAATGTCATCCGTTATAACTCATAGTTTACGTTAACCACGTCTAATGTTATACAGAAGTAAGGGTTTTACAAGTATAGTGTTCAAGCCATTAAACGACTTTGAAACAACATTTATGTACAGTAAAATCTGTAATGTGGGACACCTTTGCATATGGAAAACCTCCAAAATGGAACACCTTTGTAAATGGAACATTTTTCAGAGTCCCATGATAATATATTGACGAAATGTTAATTATACATGCGTAAACTTGACCTTTGACACCTTGACACTTTTAGAGGCACCAAATGCGTCCTACTTACAAAGGCTTTACTGTACTGTATGGATGTTTATGTGCTAATCTCCTCGCTCGGACCAAGGACATTCAAATTGAATAACTCTTTAATCCTCTTTAATTCTATAAAATAGGATCTATTGACACCGGGTGGCCATGGATTTATATAAAGGTATACACAGTTTATAATATATAATCACAAACGCGATTAACCGCCAACCTAAACCCTAGATACTCTGTTTGTCTAGTAGTATTGCTTAGTATATTTTTGAAAGTACTGAATAAGGAACAGACAAATAAAAACAAATAACATAATCATTACTAATAAGCCAAATGGGTTGCTCATGAACACAAAATGCAATGTATAGTAGAATCACCCCGAAATAGCCTGACGACGGTAAAGTCAGAGACCGTTGTCACAAATGGCGGACATAACCGTCGCTTCAATTAGATTTTCATGAACTGTATGTTTAAAGTGTCTCACATATTCGATCAAAATTTGCCATGCAAACATGTTAGTCTACTTTACTGGCCCCCCTTGCTGTAACAAGGAACCCAAAACACATTAAAAGGTAAACATAAACCAATTAGTCACTTCACTATGAAAGTGGGGGTGTTAGCAAATGTATATTAGACCATAAGAAGTAGATTCTTTGTTTTGCGTCCTGGCAAAATCCAAATCATGCAAGGGTACAAGGAAAACAAATACAAACTCAAGATAAAACACAAACTTGTTTGCTGAGAAATTTATACATTTTATGGGCATAAAAAGGAATGACATAACAATTTGCAGTGATTACAAACACATATCTATACATTTTATACAATATATTTAAACATAGCTATTATTCAAAGGGTAAAAAATAAGAAAACACACAATGTATGCAAAGTAATCAATAACACTGTCAATTTTGACGCACATCAAATTATTCTCCATTTCGTCTGATTCTGATTGAACGAAATGCGATGGAACTTTCAGACCCTTGTGATTGCTATTTGGATGTGTTTGTTTTTTCTGATTTACTCAAAATCGTGCAAGCAAGGGGATGCAAAACAAAGAATTTACTTCTTATGGCCTTAGCAGAATACGCTGTGTGCATGGACTAACACAATAACAGTGGTCATTTACTGTGTCAACTTAGTAACCCTTGCATATCGTGCTCACTCAAGTATTGAATAATTTTTTTATGATCTAAATGCATGTTTGTGGTTTATAAAAAAAATGTGATATATTTTAGTTAGAAATACATTAATTAACATATTCATTCAAACAGCACTAGAATGCGGGAAGAAAGAGCAATGGTGACAAAATGCAGACAGAATTTTCCGTAAGGGTTTCAAACATTTCTGGACACAATCATACATGTACTTCATGTGTACTGTTATTTTTAGTGCTGTATTTATAGATATTATTTCACGTATTAAAATCATATTTTCCAGCAATGACTTCAAATCCGGAACCACACCCATATCACATTTTCTTCAATAACTCCAAACATGTGTAAACATTGACCATGTGCATATAAATTCAGATTTCACGAGCTCTTTCCTATTCGAATACCTCATACACCCCTGCATGGATTTGAGTTGGATTCGCCTTTTATACGTGAGCCGACACACTCGCAAACGCTGATTGGATAAAGATTGCGAGAATCTTGGAACAACAATCAATCAAAGTGTTTTAATACTCAATGTACAGTTAATAATGTTCTACCATCGAAATAAGGTCTTTAATTTAACCGATCAAAATGAGATACGGGACAACGGACACTGCAATTACCATATGCCGTGTCTTTCTAAATTACTCAAATTCAGATTCTTTTGTCATTGACTATATCGAAGACGCTATATTGCGGCGATTCACGACCCGATTTGATCGAAATGGGATTTCATTATCGCAAGAGCCTGATGCATGCCATAATTAGCGACGATATAATCCCATGAAATGAGGACCAAGTGATTAAACAGTTGAAGCGACGGTTATGTCCGCCATTTGTGACAACGGTATCTGACTTTACCGTAGTCAGGCTATTCCGGTGTGAGAATGTAAGTGTATTTGTTCCGGTTATATTGTAGAAAAGTCCTAGCAAAACATAGTTCCCTCTCTATTATATTATGAGCATGAATGACGTTGGACTACGTACGTAGCTATTGGACCTGTAAGGCATGTGAGGCTACTGCCTCACTTTTGACAATTTTGGTTCAAAACTGGCCAAAATCACTTAAAATTTGCCCAGAATGATGAAAAACTGCATGATGGCTACGGGCCTGGAGCGTACATGTACACAGGGGTATGGATCTGGGAACCAACAAGTGAGGGGGGGGGGGGCAAATTTCAGGTAAAGTGGCCCAAATTTTGAAATTTTGAGGCCCATTTTCTTCAAAATTCGGTCTGATATTAAAAAATAAAGCCTTCAAAGGCCCAATTATGACCAAAATGGCTCACTTTTTTGGGCTTTAAGGCCTTTTTTGGCCCAACATTTTTTGGGCCAGATTTCTTTTTTCTGGGCCCACCAAAGGCCCCCAGCCCCGCCCCCCCCCCCCCCCCCCCAGATCCGCCAGTGGTACATGTAGGTGTCAACCAGAAAATCACACCAGATATTAAGGGGTTTCGATTATATAATCGTTAATTGTAGAATGCGTTCTGTCTGTTAGCACAGTGGTTAGTAGTTCTGTCGTCAGTATGATCATTAATTGATGAATCTCAACGAAAGTGAAAGTGGATTGTTATGAATGTGGTAAAAGGGGATTCCCCTTTACGAATGCTGTCGTGCAAGGTGCCTTTCTTATTTGTATTTGAACTTCGTATAAAACAAAATAATGCTCTCCTGACAATAATTTATATCTTAAATACCACATTTACCTTGATGCTATGGCCTACCTTTTTCTATTTGTAAATTAATTAATCAAGAGCAAATTTATAAAATTGGAACTTAAGATTGGAACTTTTACAAAAATATACGAAAATAACCAAAATAAATGCTGGCTCTGAATCTTAATCACTTCTGAGATGTGAAACCTCCAGCGTAAATTCCAAATTTCTTCCACTTCTTAGATCTTTGGGCGTTGGTTTTCAATAGAGTAAGACGCAAAAGAAATTAGATTCAGGTAAGGCATGTTAATACTGCAAATGACATAGATATAAAGATACTCAAGAATCGGAATGAACCTAACAAATCTACAGATCTACGTTTTTTAAAATAATTTCATTGGTCATCATCGTGATTCGTTTCACTTACATTAGGCCTAGTTAGCCTAGATTCTCTATATTGATACAATGCATATTGTTGCAAAACGTTTTTATATCTTGAATGTGTTTGTATGGAGGGAGGTGGGGGTGGGTTTATCCTGTTCCCGGACTATGGTCCTGTACTGAGCCCATACATTTGCCTGTACGATTACAACTTGGGAGAATTATCTACGCCCCTTCCACTTAGGAAACCTACCTCAATGCATTCTAGAACTCAAAATGTTACTTCTAATATATTGGAACCGCCGATTGTCTGGGTTAGTTGGCAGAACGAGGTCTTTTTGATTCTTATTGCTCTTTTGGTCGAAGTTCGATTAAGATGGCGGTTATAACGGAATTTCCCGAACTCTTCCGTAATAGCACGAACTTGGTTTTTCGTTACGTCACTTCCGTGTAAAATGGATTTTCCGGTAAGAAACATTGTTTAACCATTCGGTATACAGTTAAGAGCATAGGATGTCGACATGGCAGTAAATATTGAAAATATATTTCGAAATTCCCTCTTACCGGAAAATCCATTTTACACGGAAGTGACGTAACGAAAAACCAAGTTCGTGCTATTACGGAAGAATTCGGGAAATTCCGTTATAACCGCCATCTTAATCGAACTTCGACCAAAAGAGCAATAAGAATCAAAAAGACCTCGTTCTGCCAACTAACCCAGACAATCGGCGGTTCCAATATATTAGAAGTAACATTTTGAGTTCTAGAATGCATTGAGGTAGGTTTCCTAAGTGGAAGGGGCGTAGATAATTCTCCCAAGTTGTAATCGTACAGGCAAATGTATGGGCTCAGTACAGGACCATAGTCCGGGAACAGGATAAGGGGTGGGGGTCCAGTGGGACATCTACAGTTGCTTACATGGTATCTCGATTCATGGACATCACACATACATGTACTATTTTTTTCATGGCCTGAGTTCGTCGCTAACATGCTAAATATAAGAGTTAGCTGACGTTTGGGAGTCTGACTTACCTTCTTAAGGTTAGAACCCGAATCTTAATGAAACCATATCACCTTTGTTGCGTCGATGATGATGCATAAACACAGCATTTGATAGAAATTAGTGTAAATGCTTTTCCGACTTTTTCATTTTTCATCAATGTTGACTTCCGGGAAGGCATCACGAAATAACGCATTGACCCTTGAACTTTACTTTGTTGACGTGTCAACCAAGCATGTCTGGTGTGAAAATTAAAAGAATATTAAGCAATGTTCTACATCCGCCAATCTAAGTGAAATAGCCAATATTTAGAATTACCAAGTGAAGTATGCAACCAACGAAAATGTGTGATCTGCACTCCTACTATTGGTCTGAACGAAATGCTACGTAGAAATATGAGCCGTCTGCTGTATTAGTTGATTAATAGAGTAAGACCTGTTGGTGATGCTTTATAATTTAGACCAAAACATTGGAGAACAAACGAACCTGTAAATCGTGAAAACAACGAACAAATATTCGGTTTTCACATATGTTCGGTAATTTTTCGTATTGAAACTTCCGGAACTTACAAGGAAATCATTCATTTTCACGGTCCATGATTTACCTCTTGGATATTGTGGCAAATGCTCCATGGTTGACGGAACAAATGTGATATGGTTTCATTAAGATTTGGGTTCTAACCTTTAGAAGGTAAGTCAGACTCCCAAACGTCAGATAACTCTTATATTTAGCATGTTAGCGACGAACTCAGGCCATGGAAAAAATAGTAGACTCTAGGCCTAGTTAGTCTAGATTCTCAATATTGATACAATGCATATTGTTGCAAAACGTTTTTATATCTTGAATGTGTGTGTATGGAGGGAGGTGGGGGGGGGGGGGGGGGGGTCCAGTGGGACATCTACAGTTGGGTACATGGTATCTCGATTCATGGACATCACACATACATGTAGAAAGGTGGCTCAAGCTTTGCCGTCCACGGTGAAATAATGGAGAGAGGATTTGAAAGTTGAACAATTATTTCGCTGTCAGCGAAAAACATGTAAATATGTCAAACTTTCCAAAAATGAAAAATGGTCTCTATTACAAGACAGAGAAACTGTGCGCAAAAACAATGAATAACAACCATAGTTTTTCACTATTATATTCCTCACTCTGATTGGTCTACATGTTGTCCAACACCTGAGAGGAATTGCAGGGTTCTCACTAGGCTTTTAGAGTTGGAGAGTCTCCGGAATCTTATGTCTTTAACCCTCTTGCTCCAGAGTCTAATTCCTTTTCCGGTGTCTAAAGTGTTTTTTCTATACAGTAGTACTGTAAGTACTGTAGTTTAATTTTACATTTTTGTCACTGTGGTAAAACTCTTCAGAAAATGGAAACAATAGGATACAATAGGAACCAATATACATTTCTAAACCTTTTAGATATGCAAATATATATTGTGATTAAAATAGGAAGATAATCTTAATAAGTAGTATTTTGAAAGTATACTACTTTATATCTAGTATATTTCTTATTTCACATGGGGGAGGAGCAGTCACGATACCCCGAAAAATCCGGGGTGTGAACTCTGAAGTGGGATTCCACATATCTCAGCTGTGGGTCCGTCCAGTATAATCTGAACCATATGCCTCTAAGCTGGCAGTGTATTTTTATAGGAATATGAACAGTGAATAATATATTTTCCAGGGTGTTCACTTTTGATAATTTTGATCCAAAAATGGGGGGATTTTGAAAGGATTTTTGGCCAGGGGGAAGGAGGGGGGGAGGTTCACTCGAACCCATTGAACCCCCCCTGGCTACGGGCCTGTATGGTACCACTGTTAGTTATATTGTAGGATTCCACGACTCAAATGGCATGTTTTTGTTTATTCTAGGAAACTATGGCAACTATGGCACCTACTACACATTTGTCACAATGGCAACAAGTGACGATGACAGGAAATGAAAAGGTGGATGCTTATATCATGCAACACTATCACGACCAAGGAATTGATCTAACTGTTCGAGAAAAATGTGCACTTTTGATAGAAAGCCGGTGAGATTTCTTTGCCTAAAGTCCCTATGTAGAGTTTGAAAATATGTTCTTATCATTCATTTTTATCATTTGTCATGACTTTAAAAGTTATTTCAGAGATTTTTGAAAAAAAATTGAAAAAAAGTTGTAAGCTTTTCATTTTCCAAAAAGTTAATATTTTTTAATCATCAAATCTTTTTTGAAAAAATAACATGAAAAACTGGAGAAATGAACTTTATGTATCGATGAAATATTTCCAAATTATACAATTTTTGGACAGGTTTCATATTGTATAATACAATCTGTGTAACAAGCACACAAGACAATTGCCCGACCAGAATTTTACTGATTTGTTTTTAATTCAGCCAAAAACACATATAGATTTTAAATTGATCTATACATTTTGGTGAGGACAGGCATATAGGCTATGTCTGTGCACAACACGATGTTACATTTAGTTTGTTTAGAACACAATCTAGTTTGTTTAGAACACAATCTAGTTTGTTTAGAACACAATCTAGTTTGTTTAGAACACAATGTAGATCTTGTAAAGTATCGCTTTAGCTTTAATTGTAAAACTACCTCCCATAAGCCCAAATCTCATAATCGCATCAGAAAGAACTTCCAATATATCTTTGCAGGTATATGGAATGGAAGACTGTAAGCACCCCAAATAGCCAATCAGATGACATCAATTATGCTGTTCCTCTTGTGCAAGAATTAGCGAATGAATGTTTCAAACAGAAGGACAAACTCAGCAATTCACAGCAAAATAATTACGTCGCAATACAAACTCTGGCAAGTTTTGGTAAAAAATTACAGGTATGTATTTTTTCTATTTTGGTGGGCTTTCTTGTTTGGTGGCCTTACTTGATCCTTATTGTTTGATGGCCTTACTTATTTGATTGTCTTGTTGTTTGGTGGCCTTGATCCTTATTGTTTGATGGCCTTACTTATTTGATTGTCTTGTTTGGGGCTTTGATCCTTATTGTTTGATGGCCTTACTTATTTGATTGTCTTGCTTGTTTGGTGGCCTTGATCCTTATTGTTTGATGGCCTTACTCATTTGATTGTCTTTCTTGTTTGGTGGCCTTGATCCTTATTGTTTGATGGCCTTACTTATTTGATTGTCTTTCTTGTTTGGTGGCCTTGATCCTTATTGTTTGATGGCCTTACTCATTTGATTGTCTTTCTTGTTTGGTGGCCTTGATCCTTATTGTTTGATGGCCTTACTCATTTGATTGTCTTTCTTGTTTGGTGGCCTTGTTCCTTATTGTTTGATGGCCTTACTTATTTGATTGTCTTTCTTGTTTGGTGGCCTTACTTGATCCTTATTGTTTGATAGCCTTACTCATTTGATTGTCTTTCTTGTTTGGTGGCCTTGATCCTTATTGTTTGATGGCCTTACTTATTTGATTGTCTTTCTTGTTTGGTGGCCTTGATCCTTATTGTTTGATAGCCTTACTTATTTGATTGTCTTTCTTGTTTGGTGGCCTTACTTGATCCTTATTGTTTGATAGCCTTACTTATTTGATTGTCTTTCTTGTTTGGTGGCCTTGATCCTTATTGTTTGATAGCCTTACTTATTTGATTGTCTTTCTTGTTTGGTGGCCTTACTTGATCCTCATTTTTTGATAGCCTTACTTATTTGATTGTCTTTCTTGTTTGGTGGCCTTACTTGATCCTTATTGTTTGATAGCCTTACTTATTTGATTGTCTTTCTTGTTTGGTGGCCTTACTTGATCCTTATTGTTTGATGGGCTTACTTATTTGATTGTCTTTCTTGTTTGGTGGCCTTGATCCTTATTGTTTGATGGCCTTACTTATTTGATTGTCTTTCTTGTTTGGTTGCCTTGATCCTTATTGTTTGATAGCCTTACATATTTGATTGTCTTTCTTGTTTGGTGGCCTTGATCCTTATTGTTTGATGGCCTTACTTATTTGATTGTCTTTCTTGTTTGGTGGCCTTGATCCTTATTGTTTGATGGCCTTACTTATTTGATTGTCTTGCTTGTATGATGATATTTCTTGTTTGGTAGGTATGATAAATTGATAAATGGATAAAACGTTACAAGGCTGAAACTAGGGTTGGTGCTGGAGATGAAATCACCCCCACCTGTTGCCATTATTATTGCCTGAGAAAACCAACTTATGTATTCTGATGAGCCCCTGTACCCCCCCCCCCTTTATGGACTAACATAATTGTATATGTTAATGTAACTGACTTCAAATGTTGGTTTATAAAGTAATAGAAAAGTAACAAACTACATGTACACTGTACATGTATTTCACTCCCATGCTTCAAAGATATTATCCAACCAACATGTTGTCATTTTCAGCAGGAGATTCAAGACCAGGGGAGTGCAGTTCAGTTTGCAGCAAGAATGAGCCATTGTCTGCAGATGGAGAGAGACATTCTTGATCAGATTAAAGTAAGAAAACATTTACTGTTAACTGTCAATTTACTGTCAATTTACTGTGAACTCTCTGGGGGAATTTCTGTCAACATGTGTTGGACTTTCTGGAGGGGGAGTTCATTAATTCTCAACATGTGTTGGACTTTCTGGAGGGGGAGTTCATTAATTCTCAACATGTGTTGGACTTTCTGGGGGTATTTACTGATATGTTGGACTTACTGTCAAGAAGTGTTTGACTTTCTGGAGGGGGCATTTACTGTCAACATGTGTTTGACTTTTTTCAACAAGCATTGGGATACCTGGGTGGGGCATCGGGACATTCACATATATGTATTTTAATTGTCAGAGAATTTTGTCAATCTGATATTGTATTTTAGAGTATAGTACCACAAAATTATATCTAAAATGTGATTTAAAATATTGCTGCTCGTCATATTTGCAAATACTTTATATGTTATGTTATTTAAAATCATGAATAGAAATAGTGTTAACACATTTTATTCTGATTCTAACAGTTTGCCGTCAGGGAGCCTAATTAGTACAATTAAATGATAATTTAATTAGCTCAATTAAAGGGATATGTTTCATAACTTACTTAGAAACATCCCTTAATTAGCTTAATTAGGCCAATCATCTATTGATTCTTATTATCCCACCGAACGAAGTTCGAGAGGGATATAGGAAAGCCGTCCGTCCGTCCGTCTGTCCGTCCGTCCGTTCGTCCATCCGTCCGTCTGTTTGTCCGGGCGATAACTCAAATACCGTTTCACGGATTTGATTCAAATTTTATAGGCTTATGCCTTATGGGTGTAGGACCTCTGCTCGAGAAGGAATTTTCAATATGGCCACTGAATTTAAAATGGCCGCCATTTTTCGTAAAAAATGTAATCTTTAATAAATCAAATACTAGTTTGCAGATTTGGTTCAAATTTTATATGCTGATGCCTAGGGACAAAGGAGTTTCGCACATAAAGAGATTTTCAAGATGGCTGCTTAATTTCAAAATGGCGGCCATTTTTCGTAAACATATGTAATCTTTGATAACTCAAATACCAGTGAACAGATTTGGTTCAAATTTTATATGATGATGCTTAGGGACACAGTAGCTATGTTTGACAAAACATTTTCAAGATGGCCGCTTAATTTCAAAATGGCGACAATTTTTCGTAAAAATATGTAATCTTTGATAACTCAAATACCAGTGAATGGATTTGGTTCAAATTTTATACAATGATGCTTAGGGACACAGTAGCTATGTTCAACAAAACATTTTCAAGATGGCCGCTTAATTTCAAAATGGCGGCAATTTTTCGTAAAAAACGTAATCTTTGATAACTCAAATACCAGTAAATTGATTTGGTTGAGATTTTATATGATTATGCCTAGGGACACAGTCGCTCTGTTCAAGAAATAATTTTCAAGATGGCAGCTGAATTTCAAGATGGCGGCCCATATTCGTAAAAAACGTAATCTTTGATAACTCATATACCAGTGAACGGATTTGGTTCAAATTTTACATGCTGATGCCTAGGGACAAAGGAGTTTCGCACAAAAAGAGCTTTTCAAGATGGCCACTTATTTCAAAATGGCGGCCATTTTTCGTAAAAATATGAAATCTTTCATAACTCAAATACCAGTGAATGGATTTGGTTCAAATTTTATATGATGATGCTTAGGCATGTTAGGGACACAGTAGCCATATTGGACAAAACATTTTCAAGATGACCACTTAATTTCAAAATGGCAGCAATTTTTCATGAAAAACGTTATCTTTGATAACTCAAATGCCAGTGAACAGATTTGGTTGAAATTTTATATGATTATGCCTAGGGACACAGTAGCTCTGTTCAAGAAATAATTTTCAAGATGGCGGCTGAATTTCAAGATGGCGGCCCATATTCTTAAAAAACGTAATCTTTGATAACTCATATACCAGTGAACGGATTTGGTTCAAATTTTATATGATGATCCCTAGTTCACAATGGTATAAACTAACTTTGTGCCAAATTTCATGCTTCTATCACAAAGTAAACAAACATTTCAACATTTACACTAGCTATAATAAGCATAATATGTTTTGTTCGGTGGGATTTGCTACTCTGTGGAGTTGCTGTTTTTCTAGTTAAATTAAGGTGGGACATCCGTCCTAAAGATATTTTATTGTTTGGCTTACCTTAATATGTTCAATTGTCTATTTTACCCTAAATTTTTTTGGTTCAAGGGTGGGTTGTGAACTTGTGGGTTCTTTTCAGTAGTCATACTTCTTTGAAGTTCAGTGGAATAATGAAGTCCCAGTTACCTCGTGACCTTGACATCAGTCATGTGATCTTTGTCCAGGGGATGGATCATTCTTACTTCATTTTCCTACACATTCATATGTGCTACTCCCTTCAACAAACTGTTTATAATTTCATAAATCCAATTATTGCATAATTATTATTTATCTCAGTCAAAAAGTACAGTACAATTGTACTCAAAAGAATTAAAAAGTAACGTTTATATATTTATTCAAGTCTATTGATTGTGTGAATACATATTAGTATTAAAAAAAATTTAGGATTAATTAACTGTTGTTGTTGGAGGAAAATTCATTACAGCAATGAGCTACTTACCCTTTAATATGAAATCAGTAAAAGTTTTTTTGCAATTTTAGAAAAATCCGAAAGGAGAAATTGAAATTGAAAGCGAGATGGAGAAAAAAATCAAGATGATTGATTTACAATTAAGGGTAAGAAATATGTCAAACGTCAAAATAGCTTTAAAATGATATATCACACTCTAGAAATGAAACATCTTACAATAAGCTATAGAATAGAGAAATTCTTAACAAATCAAGTGATAGTGTTGTTCTGTATCGGATAGAATAAATGTACAAAACAGTGTCTAGACGGAGACAAATTTATTCTATACTTGTTGAATGGCTGAACTGAAAATAACCACGTTTACAATGAACGAAAAGCAAACAGTCAGTCCTGATCCCGGGATAAAATAAAAGTGAATAGACATCTATGCACTGATGACATCTATAAAACATCAAATACATTACAAGTGTAAAGTTGGCTATCTCTGATTTCTAGTTAAGATACACAGCAAATCTGCAACAGTACCGTATAGTACCGTTATGGAAATGGTACTCTATGGTACCGTGAAATATGGTAACGTATGGTACTGTAGATTAAAATGGTACCGTACAGTACCGTGAACACTGTATGGGACTATACTCCAACGGTATTGTATGGTACCATACTCTTAATGTACCATAGGGTCCCCTGATTTTAGAGTGCGAACTGGGGGTGTTTTGTTCATCGTGAGCCTTGTTGAAATTTTGATTTCTAGGATATTGAAAAAGGCCTTAAGGATCTCGGAGAACTGCAGAAAGAAGTCAGAGCCAATAATGTTGAATTAACAAGTATGTATCATGTCCCTTTCCCAAAAAAATAAAGACCCCAAGAGACCGCAAAAATCCCCATTTTGGTTTGATAACTTATTTCTGGACATTTCAAGGGGGGGGGGTCATCTGAACCACCCTACCCACCAGACCACAATTTTGTATTGTACATGTACTGTCATTCTTTGAATTAATTATTTTCACAAACATTGTTCACAACAGTTGCTTTTATTATATGGGCAAAATTATTGGCATTAAAGTAGACCTCCAGTTTTTTGCAAATTTATATATGGCTTATGGGTCACCCTGTATTTCTAGATATCATCGTGTATTTTAGATCAGATGGAGAACTGTAAGAGGAAAATTCAGGAACAAGGGAGACAAAACAATACTAATAAAGTCAATGAGTTGAAGAGACAACAACAAGAAATCAAGCAGAAAAGGGACAATGAATTTAATATGAAAGCCGTCAGCATTCTGCAAGTGAGACAGGTAGGTGCCTTAACATTGCATTACATTTTGCGGTAAAATCTGTGTGCAAGTTGAAAAGCTCTAGTACCTTTAAAACGTGTTCCCTTTACAGACGTGTTACACTTTTTACTTTATATACATCATACGATTTACTGTCATTTGAGTTTGCTTCTTAAACTTTCGTAACCAGTAAGTAAGTACCAGTTTGGCCGTTTGGCCCTTTTCAAGCATTTTTGCTAGTGTATACAGGCTTGATGATATCATTTTCTGATTAAGTACTTTCATTTTCTGATTCAGTACCTTCATTTCCTGATTAAATACCTTCATTTTCAAATTAAGTGCCTTCATTTTATGTCACCACCAAAAGGTGGTGACATATTGTTATGGTCTCTGGTTTTTTGACAGCGGTTGGTGGTTGGCGGTTGGCAATCGACGTCTGTAACAAATTCTTACAACTTCCAATAACTTAGCAAAGACTGACTTCAATTTTTTTCAAAATCATCTACAAGTTTACAGAAGTTGTGACCTTTTCAAGGTCAAAAAAAGGTTAAAAAGGTCAAAGAGGTCTTTTTTCAACTTGCTTCAAATTGACCAATCTTTTTTTCAAAATCATCTACAAGTTCTACATCTACATCTGGCTATAGATTTGACCTTCAATGACATTCTCAAGGTCAAAAAAGATTTGACTTTCAAAAAGGTCTTTTTTCATCTTGCTTCAAATTGACCAATTTTTCTTTCAAAATCATCTTCAAGTTCTCAGAAGTTCAAATCTGACTTAAGATTGAACTCATAATATTGTTAGCAACTAGGTGGTAACATTTTGTCATGTTAATGCCTTGTTTGATGAGGTACCTTCATTTCCCGATTAAGTACCTTCGCTTTCTGATTAAATACCCCATTTCCTGATTAAGTACCTTGTTTTTTGATTTAGCACCTTTCTGGGAAATGTGCAACTTTAGTACCGGATACTGAAACTCTCAAGAACCAGATGTTGAAAGAGATAGACACGTGGCAGAAAGTTGAGAAAATGAAAGTCGTTAGCAAAATTACAAATCTATGGCTAACTTCGCCTGAATTAAAAAAGGCACACACTAAGACCCAATTGGATGACATTGAAACAAGGTAATTTCTCATATTTTACATTTCCTCATAGTACTGAATAATATTTGATTTGAAATTAGATCAGTTATCTCATCAGGGTGAAAAGACTTAACTCATTTGCTACGAAGGACATGATATGACGTCATAAAGCAAATACGTCTACGAAGGATGTGATATCGAGTCCAAGCACAAACCCAATGTATATTTTGGAATCTTGTAAACATGATAACTTATAAAATGGGACTTTACTCATTGCTGACCATCCCCGAGATATTTCGTGTATGATGTCATAATCTTATCTGGCCAACCCCGAGACATCTCGGGATGCTCTCCAATAATTGTCACATGACTTGTACCAATAATCTTAACCAAGCATTGTAAGAGCTGCTAGGGGACCATGGTTGGGTGCAATTGAAATATATTGTCGTTGGCTTCACAATGGCATAAAACATAGCACTGAGGGTGTTGATATAGTCCATGTTATGCTGATATGAAATCATGCAATTTTGCTTAATTTTTCATCAAAATGGCCGGTCATCAGCTGACAATCTCCAAAATAGCTTTGGTTAGCAATGCGTTAAAAACCTATTGATTCTTAAAGAGTGTATCATCTGCTTTAAAATAGTATATGACACTATATGTATGTCCATGTATAAACTTATACATTATCTCAGAGGTACCATAATGGCAATTTTCAAAAATTCATCAGTATTACAGTGCTTTTTGCCTCTGTATTGAATGAGTTAATCCTACATATTTTGCTGAAAGATTTCAAAGCTTTAGAGGAAGCCTCTATCGCTCAAAATATTTTTATGCATTTACAGATGCAGCAAGCTTGCAAGAACCTTATGGAAACTTTTCCAATGTACACAGTCATTAAATCAGATGGTCTCCGAGTTGAACCTTACAACACAAGATGGCAGCAGCCAGAACATTGCGGCTGACGTGAGAAAACTACTTGAGGATGTCCACGCCAACTTCTCTAGTCTTTTGGAAAAGTAAGGGACAAATCATCCTCCTAATAAGCAGGTGGCCAGGATCCGTACCTCCTTCTTCCTCCCTGCTATAACCAAGTTGGAAGCACCCGATTAAACTGAATCGCGTGATCTAATTATGCGCCGATGACGTATTCATGAATGCTGTCGCTGCGCTGTGGCAGCAAATCAAATTGCGAGTTCTTATCGGGGAAATCCTATCTGCTTATAGCAGGGGGTAAAAAGAAAGAGATACTCTGGATTTTGAAGCCCTGTGATCGGAGGATGGGTGTAAATCTATTTATGCTGTAAACTTACATCTTCACATTGACTTTTTACAGTAAATATATAAAAATAGATATAAATATGCATTTTCTAAACCCAAGGCATTATAATACAGATTCAGATTTCAAAGCTTTATTCTAAACATACTTATAACTGTGAATATACAAAGCAACTAATTCAAGGCAGAATCAGCTCCGGCAAGATTCTGGAGAGTACTCTTGACGAAAATTGTTTTAGAATATTTTGGGATCATATTATTCCTTGTCATCTCTATTTTCTTAAAATTCCCAAAGTGTATACTACATTTGAGGAGAACTGAAGATTTTCACAATAATGCATTCCTTTTTCTATAAATACATGTTCAGTGTATAAGGTAACCATTTTTATTAAATTTTGGAAAATGTGCACATTTACTCCATTTAGGCACTCCAAAGTCTGATTCCTTAATAACATATCGTGGATCTTTTTGGAGATATTATATTTTAGATTGTAAGGAATATATTGGTAGGTCAACTGTACATGTTGCTTGCAATTTTGTCACTCCCTATAGATACGATTCTGCCTTTAACACATATACAATATACATGTATTCTCTTTTGAAGGTCTCTTGTCATTGAGATCCAGTCATTGCAAGTCCTTGTGATGTCCAGTACAACTAATGGCACTTCAGAGAATGTCAACTTCACACTGAGGTACATACGTATATATTTGACACCTTAACTTTCTATGTGGGATGTATCCATAGCAAGGCAGGTGAGGCAATGCCTAAAAAATGTTCAGAGAATTAAAAAAAAAAGAAATTTCACCTTGTAAATTACAGAAAACATTTTGTGACCCAGGTGGGAATATTAAGTGCCATAGTAATATGATATCCTCTTTGGCTTGGAGTTTTGCCTCACTTATTTCAGTTAGCCTCACCTATTTCAATTAGCCTCATCTATTTTGATATTACACCCCTGGTATTGTGGGTTGGTTGTAGTATGCATTTCAATTGGTTTTTAGTGTCAATAGTAAAATCTATATTTTGAGTCAACTGTTGGTTAATGCACTGAATGTTGGAATATTTAAGATTTATTTTCCTTGAGTAGCCATTTGTTCCATTCAATTTTTATCACACTTCAAAATTGCATATTGAGTTGTCTTGCGCTTATTGGCATGCTATAGAGGCATTGCATGTCCAGAACAGCATTTATCCATTTAAGACTTGAAATCACCAAAGGCAACTGCAGATTGGTGCTTGGATATGATTTGGTTTTGGGCATGCTGGGTAATGCTCAAGGTGGCCATTTTGAATTTCAAGGCCAATACTTTGTGTCTTAATAACATACAATTAATCAAATGCGCTGGACATCCTCCTGGATATATAAAGCATTTACTACAATATTGTCTTCTAAAATAATGACTTTTTTATTACACTTAATGCTTTACTTTGTTCTAATCAAGGTCAAGGTCGAATATTGAGTTGGAACCCTGAAAGTCAATCCTCCTTGGTCAATACCGCAGTCAATACTGTACTTGGTGTCTTGATTTAGCATGTTTTGATATATATTCCAGGCTGTTAGCTGGTAGAGATTTGGACATTGGGAAAATGATGCCACAAGCCATCAGTGCTGGTTTCTACAGTGAGAAAGAGTTAATGCATGCAGAGAGGTAGGCCTACAGTACAGTGTTTATGTTATGAATACACAGGGTGTTCAATAAGTTATTGGTTTGTCCTGTTTTTTAATCTCCATTACTCTTTCACAATTAACATATGGAACATACAGTGTTTGTTATGCTATATTTCTTTTCTGTTCATTTTTTGACAATCAGTTTACTATCCATGTAACATATTATGCATGGTATGGTAACCATGGTAACTTAAAATGGACTAGAAACTCCATATTTTGTAGATCTGAAATTGGCAAAAGAACAATATAAACCAATATTGAAACCTATTTATATGTACCTCTTTCAATGTTTACTTCAATTGTCGGACACCCTGTAAAAATAGTTTGAAGTAACTAACTTCATGCATCAGACTTGAATCTTTTGTGTTACATACTTTATCATTTTATGTTGTTGATTAGACATTCTTGTGTTACAGACTTGACACTTATATTCAAAGACATACATGTAACACTCTTGTGTAACAGATTTGACACTTATATTACACACTTGATCATTTGACACCCTTGTGACACCCTGTTACTTATTTGATACTCTTATGATACAGACTGTATATTCTTATGTTACATACTTGATCCTTTTATGTTACAGATATGACACTCTTGTGTTACAGCGGGTGTTACAGATCTGACAATTATGTTACCGATTTGATGCTCAAATGTAAACAGTTACAAATTTGATATTCGTATGTTACATATTTGATCATTTTATGTTACAGACATGACACTCTTGTGTTACAGACCTGACACTTATATTTCAGATTTGATGCTATTATGTACAGACTTGACACTCTTATGTTACAGACTTGACACAGATAAACCATCATTACAGCTGACCAATAATAATGCCAATCTAGCTCCCCAGGGTTACACAAAGTCAGTGGTTGCGTCGTTCCAGAATATGAGAGTGACAAAATTCAGACGTGGCAAACGAGGGGCGCAAGAAGTGGGAGAACAGATGTATGGAGTTCTTTTTCAGGCAAACATCAAACTTGGAGAAATCATGTACACTGTTAAGGTATTCATATTTGTGTTATGAAAAAGTCATGGTTGCCATGGTTATTTCATGCTTTTATCTTTAAGGGTAATGAGCGATTTAAATATCTGCCATTTCTCGAGAGGCATCCTCCTAAGCAGGTGTCCAGAATACGTACCTCCTTCTTCCACCTGCTATAACCAATTTAGACGCGCCCGGCCGATTTAACTGAATCACGTGATCTAATTATGCACAATGACTTATACATGATTTCTGTCGCAGTGTTGCGACAGCCAATCAGATTGCGAGTTCTTAATCGGGGAATTGCTAACTGCTTATAGCAGGGTGTAAAAAGAAAGAAGATATTCTGGATTTTGAAGCCCTGTGATCGGAGGATGCTCGAGAGGGAATACAAAATTTTTACTTATTTGAGTTGATGTATTTTCATTCTTAAATGTATTGTAAAGTTTAGAAGTAGATGTTACCTCAGGTCAGAATTTTATAATACACAAAAAGAATCTGGGCCAAATTTCTTGAATTAACTTATATTTTATCTTGTGTCATTTATTTTTTAGACTATCTCAAAGCCTCTCACACTGGTTGTAAAGAGTTGCCAAGAACCCAACTCATTGTGTAATCTGGTTTGGTATAGCGCTTTCTCTGAGCCGGTAAGAGTACCATTTTATCACACTTTTTCAAACAGCTATATTGTTATCTTGTGCGTGTGTCTGTGTGGGTTGGTGTTTAGTGTAATCTGGTTTGGTATAGCGCTTTCTCTGAGCCGGTAAGAGTACCATTTTATCACACTTTTTCAAACAGCTATATTGTTATCTTGTGCGTGTGTCTGTGTGGGTTGGTGTTTAGTGTAATCTGGTTTGGTATAGCGCTTTCTCTGAGCCGGTAAGAGTACCATTTTATCACACTTTTTCAAACAGCTATATTGTTATCTTGTGCGTGTGTCTGTGTTAGTGGTGTCAATTAACCGCTTGAGCATTAACCGGTTAACCGGGTGTTTTTACCGGTTAAAGTCGGTTAACCGGCGGGAAATTTGAACTGATAATTTCAAATGAAATCTTCATCTTCGATCTTGAAAGTTGAAAAAAATTGGAAAAATGATATATCGGCGTTTATTTTTTACGTTCGTCAAGCTTTACTCTATTCTATGTAAGTATGCGCGGGAAAGCAATGTGGCAGGAATTATAGTTGCTGATTGGATGTTTGTAAGGAATTATCGGACCTATCACATGTATGAGTAGCTCACATGAAACTGACGCTTGAAAAACAAACAGATTAAAATGCAAAGTAAGCGCGGGAAAGCAATGTGGCAGGGATTAAAGTTGCTGATTGGATGTTTGTAAGGAGTTATAGGACTTATGACATGTATGAGTAGCTTACGTGAAGCTGACACCATGAAATCAAACGGATTAGCATGCAAAATAAGCGCGGGAAATAACAGAATTATACACGGTCAACTAACCGCCCATAAAAACACAGACCGGTCAAGGCATTATCGGCGGTTAACCGGTTAACCGGTTAATACTTGACACCTCTAGTCTGTGTGGGTTGGTGTTTAGTGTAATCTGGTTTGGTATAGCGCTTTCTCTGAGCCGGTAAGAGTACCATTTTATCACACTTTTTCAAACAGCTATATTGTTATCTTGTGCGTGTGTCTGTGTGGGTTGGTGTTTAGTGTAATCTGGTTTGGTATAGCGCTTTCTCTGAGCCGGTAAGAGTACCATTTTATCACACTTTTTCAAACTGCTATATTGTTATCTTGTGCGTGTGTCCGTGTGGGTTGGTGTTTGGTGTAACAGAACCGTGTGGGTTGGTGTTTGGTGTAACAGAACCGTGTGGGTTGGTGTTTGGTGTAACAGAACCGTATGGGTTGGTGTTTGGTGAAACACAAACTTACCAAGTCAAGGAGAGCTTATCCCTTCAACTTAAATTTTTTACACTTCCAAGAGCAGACTTATACAATTATTTGATTAGGTTTTTCGTATGCTAGTAAAATTACTTGGTGGCCATGTTGGATTTTCCAATACAAAAGTGCTATTTTTTCAACTTTAAAAGGACAAGTCTCAGTTTGGAGAATGAACTTTATCAGTCTACTGCACATATATCTTTCCTTTTCAGAATGCTCTTCCCTATAAGTATCCCTCAGACACTCTTTGGAGGAAACTTGCCTGTGTTTTAAACAATATGTTTCATAATCACAATGGAAAAGGCCTTGAAGAAAGACATATCAACTTTCTACGTTTTATGGCTTTCAATGGTAGGTCTAATCTCATTTTAGCATATTCCATGTTTATAGGTATATCTTCCTGACCTAGAAGTCACATTTTCAAAGAAATTTAAATTTTCAAAGTTGATGAACAATTTTTGGAACCACATTTCTAGATGTAATTTTACATGTAGATATCACTATATATGATACCTGTATCACTTTGACTTAATTATGAATATTTAATGAAGTGAAGCAAAGTTATTTCTTGCATTGCATCCAATAAGAGGAGGGAAAGCCCCAGAGTTTAGAGATAACAGGTCCCTGAAATCAATTTATTTCATCATTTAGAATATGTGCACACTGTACAAGATGGCGCTCCAATCTGCCTCAAGGTCATAATATAAGGAGTTTAAAAAAACGTTCATGAAAAATGCATTTATATAATTTTTGCTATTTTCAGGGTCAGATGTGGACAATGAATCTTGTATCACAAGAGAGAAATTTTGTAAGGTATTTCAAAACTTTTTATTACTTTGTTCTATCTTCCACTAAAATGTGAAATATTGTTTTAAAACCTGGGTCAATAAGATTCCTGTTTTAAATTATTTTGGTTCCTCTTTAACACAGAAGTCCTTCCTGTGAGTCCAGGTACAAAAGCTTACCTATTTTCAAAGTGGCTGCCATTTTAGTTGCCGAAAATTCACGTTTTGACAATTAAGTATATTTATAAGTGATTTCAGGTGTCCTGCATTGTAAAACCACATGTCAATGTAAACAGTAGTCTATAATTTTGTCAAGAAATTGGCAAAAATTTATATCTGATTTTTTATTGCCTGCCATTTTAGCCATCATTCACTTTTCTCTTGAGCAATACCATGTGAGCCCAGAACCCATGGTACTATTTATTTATATATTCAATTTAAAGACAAGTACATGTAAACACTTTGTAATTCTTAGATGATGGGAGGGGGGGGGGGGGGGTTAAACCATCATGAAATTATCTCTGTTGATAATTTGATACAATCCCTAACATTTTTTTACTTTACCATATACCATTATTTTCAATCTTATGACCAACTTGACATTTTATGATGGATTCATAATTCATATATAATGAAATATTACAAGCACACTCAAATTATATGTATTTTAATATGTAGTTATTTTTCAATTAATTCATGCATAGACAATGTATTGAAATTGAAATACAGGTATCTCATTTCAGGATCGTATGAATGGCAAAGATTTCACGTTCTGGCGCTGGTTCTACGCATGTCTTAACCTTACAAATGACCATCTGAAAGAGGCGTGGAAAGAGGGGTAATATCTCAAACCTTCCAAAAGTAGCTGCCTTATATTAGAAGATCTTATGTTTAAAATGATATCACATTGCAGGCCCGTAGCCAGGATTTGCTAAGGGGGATTCAGTTTTCAAAAATTTCCAGGGGGGGTTCACATTTGACAATTTTGGCCCAAATATGGTTAAAATCACTTAGGAAGTGCTCAAAATGGTAAAACCTGCATGATTTTGAAAGAATTTTTGGCCAGGGGGGGGGGGTTTGCCCAAACTCTGCAGGCTACGGGCCTGCATTGACATCAAAATTAATTGTACAGCTTATTGGTGGTCTCTTTATATTTTCAAATTATCATTAAAAGATCTCATCGAAGGCTATGATCTCATATGATCTCAACATGCGCTGCTTTTGTTATAACTTCAGACTCGTGGAGGGTTTCATTAGCGGCCAGGACTGCATAGCACAACTGGAGGACCCTAACATTAAAGCACATAACTTCATCTTAAGATTCAGTGCATCAGAGATTGATGATAACCAGAAGATGAAGCTCATTGGAAAGCTAGTTCCAACTGTTAAAATAGGTAAATGCTCATTTTGATAAACATGTATATTTAGATAAATGATAAGATTTGGAAATTCCAACTGTTAAAATAGGTAAATGCTCATTTTGATAAACATGTATATTTAGGTGAATAAAGAGGTAGGGTTAGGAGGAAATGGGGGGATAAATGAGAGGAATATGATTACTATAAAATAAGCTCATCGGAAAGCTCCCACTGTTAAGCTGGGTTAAAAGTTCATTTCGATAAACAGAGATATTTAGACGTATAAAGAAGATTAGGAGGGAATGGGGGCATAAATGTTATGTAGACAATTACCAGAAAATAGAGGTTATTTGAAAGCTAGTTTCCATTGTTAATTAAATTAAGTAAATGTTCATTTTAAGAAACAGATATTTAGATGCATCAAGGGATTTTGGATGCATAACCATACATGCTTTGAAAATCTCTACAGAGATGAGCATATAATATTAATTATTATGATGCTTATATAAATGACAATAGTTTCAATAAGCAATATAAACCAACCTAAACTACAAATATGTGGCAAGATGAGGCAATGTGTGTGTTCATATGGCACACAATCAATCCAAATCAGGCAATGTGTGTGTTCATATGGCACACAATCAATCCAAATCAGGCAATGTGTGTGTTCATATGGCACACAATCAATCCAAATCAGGCAATGTGTGTGCTCATATGGCACACAATCAATCCAAATCAGGCAATGTGTGTGTTCATATGGCACACAATCAATCCAAATCAGGCAATGTGTGTGCTCATATGGCACACAATCAATCCAAATCAGGCAATGTGTGTGTTCATATGGCACACAATCAATCCAAATCAATCTACTGTAATTCAAATACAGTGTCTGAATGCCTCCGGGATGGACCAAAACTGATCATTAAGATTAGCAGGTGTTCACATTTTAAGATTTAATGAATATGTAAGTCAATGGGAGATAACAGATTTGGATCTGAGAAAAATTGTTCATATTGAGAGGTGTTCAGACAAGAGAGGTGTTCCGATATAAAAGTTTCACTATATTTCAGCCGATGGTTTGGTTCACTGTTCACATTGAGAGGTGTTCCGATAAGAGAGGGGTTCTGATATACAGGTTTCACTATATTTCAGCCAATCGCTTGGTTCACTGTTCACATTGAGAGGTGTTCCGATAAGAGAGGGGTTCTGATATACAGGTTTCACTATATTTCAGCCGATGGTTTGGTTCAGCATATAGAGCCACAATCAGGAGAGGAACTTACAAAGAAGGGAAGTCTGGGAAGACTCCTCCTTGATATCCCCTCACTTGAATATCTTTACCCAGATAGGCCAGTCCAAGAAACATTCAAAAACTACACAAGCAAAAAGAAAGGTAGGTTTGTTCCCTTTTTGAGTACATTGATGTATATTCTAAAACTTTCTTAGTAGTTTCAAAAACGTCAAATATGTCCATTTGTTTCTAGCAAATAAAAGCTTCCATCCGATGGAGCTTCTCCTATCCATTTTATGTGTATCCAATCCATATTGGTATTTTACACCTACTTTTGTCTTGTTTTAGAGAAGAAATTTGCTTGCAACCAAGTGAGCCAACTGAATAGTACCATTTTAATACATGCAATTTCCATTGATTTTACAGCGAAAGACAACCAGGAATTGAGACCCAATTACATTGGATTGAACCCCAAGGCTGAACTGAAACTCACTGAAGAGGTCTTAGAGTAAGTAATGACTGTACTTCTATATAAGGAATGTCTTAGAGTAAGTAATGACTGTAATCCTATATAAGCAATGTCTTAGAGTAAGTAATGACTGTAATCCTATATAAGCAATGTCTTAGAGTAAGTAATGACTGTAATCCTATATAAGCAATGTCTTAGAGTAAGTAATGACTGTAATCCTATATAAGCAATGTCTTAGAGTAAGTAATGAGTGTAATCCTATATAAGCAATGTCTTAGAGTAAGTAATGACTGTAATCCTATATAAGCAATGTCTTAGAGTAAGTAATGACTGTAATCCTATATAAGCAATGTCTTAGAGTAAGTAATGACTGTAATCCTATATAAGCAATGTCTTAGAGTAAGTAATGACTGTAATCCTATATAAGCAATGTCTTAGAGTAAGTAATGACTGTAATCCTATATAAGCAATGTCTTAGAGTAAGTAATGACTGTAATCCTATATAAGCAATGTCTTAGAGTAAGTAATGACTGTAATCCTATATAAGCAATGTCTTAGAGTAAGTAATGACTGTAATCCTATATAAGCAATGTCTTAGAGTAAGTAATGACTGTAATCCTATATAAGCAATGTCTTAGAGTAAGTAATGACTGTAATCCTATATAAGCAATGTCTTAGAGTAAGTAATGACTGTAATCCTATATAAGCAATGTCTTAGAGTAAGTAATGACTGTAATCCTATATAAGCAATGTCTAAGAGTAGCAGTGTCTAAGTTGTTATAATTTGGAAGCTCTTGTTGCAGTTTCTTATTATAAATATTGCCCATGCTATATATTGTATGTGTTATGTTGATGTGGAAAAGCCAGTTGGTCCTGTAGCTCAGTGGTAGAGCAATTGTCTAGATAGTGAGGGGTCGTGGGCTTGATCCTGACTGAGATGACTGACTTTTTTACATTATTTCCAATTACAGGATCTTTTCATAATTAAATCATTTCATGGTGATCATGTTTTCACATGCAAATTTCACATGCAAATTACACATGCAAATTTTACATGCAAATTACAAATTATTAAATGCAGGGAAAGAGTAGAATTATATAAATATAAAATATAAAAATATTTTGGATTTTCACTTGAGTACTTTTTATGAAGTATTTCTAGTCAAATTGGTCAATATCTATACTTTATGAATTTCTTTGGCACTGAAAAAGCCAAAAACCTCATGTACTCCTAAACCATTACTTTTAAAGCTAGAAGATCAAGCAGAGTAAATATTTTATTCTATTCCATTGCAGGCAGATCAACAACAGGCAGACTGAACCTGACTATAACATCCCATCTGTAAGTTCTATTGGAAGCCAGTCAGTCCTTGAAGATTATGCCAATGGTAAGAAACTACAAATATGTATTAAGTGCAATGACTTAAAAGGGAAAGAACTAGAAAAGTTTTTGACTTCAAAATATATATTAGTAGTATTTTGAATTTCCTGAAACAGAATATTTGAATTGCAATAAAAATATTGTACATGTTTCATTCTACACGAAATAAAATCACTTAAGTGAATGCAGTAAACCATAAAGACTATACTTTCTTCAGGGTTTGCCCTCGGATATATTAGAGATAGATTATTATAGATTAGGGATAGATTAGAGCATGTACAGCTTTTGAAATTCCAATGAAGAATGATGCAGGAATCCTTTAGTAAAGTGTCTTATGTTTTAGGGGACTCTGTGGATGATACTATTATGGTCAACAACTACAGTAATATTGGTCCAATGTATCAAGGATTTGAACAAAATCAAGGTGGCCACACTGGTCTTCCTGCAATAGGTTCATTGATGCAGACAAATTCACTGGATATGTCCCCAAGTGAAGGTATGTATTACCATTTCACTGCATTTGTATTTGTACAGAGTAGTTTAATATTTCTCAAAACATCATCATGGTAAGCCACGTCATCTCCATCTCTATCCTTCATTTGCGATGCAACAGAGATGCTATGAGTATCAGAATGTCAAAACATGTTTCGGATGAGTACATGTATATTCATCAGCTGACTCCAAGGAAAGGTCTTTGCGAGTATGTCTTGAATTTCTGTTGTCATCGTTTAAAATATTATTTGTATAAGGAGCTGAGCTGCACTAAAAATCAATTTGTCATGGAAGGTAGCCACCTTAAAATGCAGAGACGTTCAGAAAATCCACTAACTTAAATGTGGAACAAAATGTGCATCAATTCTTAGTCATCTCAGAAAGTTTGAGATCAATCATGCCAATAATGAACGAGCTATTACACTTTAAAATCTGTCACATTTTTTTAGCCCACCCTGTGTGTTGTTATAGCCACTTTTTTTTGTAACCAGCATTCATATGAGAATGTGAGAATATCAGTATCTGTCTGTGTCAGATTAATTGTTATACTTTTGTATTTTCAAGATGAGGTGACATTTTGTTAAATGTGTTGTTATGTCACCACCACAGGTTTTGACATTGTTAGTCTCCAAATTTTTTGTGGATGGTGTTTGGCAGTTGGTGTTTGGTGGTCAGCGGTTGGTGTTTGGCATCTGTAACAGACGGCAGGTGGTGATATTCTGCATGTTAATGTCTTTTTATTATATTTTTACTGTTGTGTTTTTACTGTTGTGTTTGCAGTGGCGTCTCTTCTCCAGAATGTTCTGGACCCTAACATTGGCGTTCAAGAGGAGGAGGTCGTCAATAATGGCGCACTCTCACCTCAACAAAATGTCATGTGAGTATTAGAAAATCTGTCGTGAAACGAAAATAAATAAATGAAATAGAATATTGTATCCTTCAAATGGAGATAGCAATCTATCGAAAATAACAAAAATCATTGGTCAAAGCATGGGTAAATTTCCAATGAGATTTGGGTCTCAAAAGGTATGTATGTGTTTTTGGCCATGGACAAGAGTAAGTCAAATGAGGAAGGTGATTCAAATCAAAGTTGTTTTTTGGCCAAACATCGGATTACCCTAGTCCCCATTCTCCAACGAAAGGAATGCCCCACTGGGTTAATGTGTCTAGGTACCATTGCCCATTTGAAAACAAATAGTGCTTAAATGCAGTAAAAGTTGAACCAATTCCTCTTGATGACTTTACTGAGTTTATCTATCACCAATCACAGCCAATAATTCCTACATGTAGTTACTATGGCTCCAAAAAGGATTTATTGAAAAGGTCCATTGATATTTATATTTTAATTTTCAGAGTCCAACCAGTCAACCATGACGTATTTATGCCAAATATAACGAACAGCGGCACCAGTTCTGGAGATAGTTTAATTAATTTACTGAACTCCAGCAATATTACGCAAATGGAAGGAGACTACACTTACAATAATGAACAAACTCCTCAATGAGCTTACGCATTTGAGATTCAGCCTGAATGAAGACGTCAGTATGCTTACAAATGGTGTTCAAAAATCTTCAAGGGCTCATTGCTCGAAATAAGATTTCATTCACAATTGTTAAAGCCCTGATGTCCTTAGGCCTAATAGGGACTCTAAACTGAACTCAATCTCCAGTATGCCAATAGACTTTGTGAAAAAACTCCTCTTGGGGTCATTGCTGGATATCTATACATTTAGAACATGATGAATACAACTGACATATGCTTATTAAAATGTCCCATTAATATTGTATATTATATTTCTTCCATGGGATATTCATTGGATATCGTGTAAAGTAAAAATCTTTGCAACAAGTGGATAAATGTCATATTTTTCCCAAACCTCAAATGTGCTTCTGAATCATCAGAGACGGTACAAAATCTGAAGGCTCACTCTGATCTTAAATATTGAATGTTTTTTGCTACTTGACTGAAAACGAGAAGGAATTGGAAATGTTACATTTTCATCATTGATTATTTGATTTTTTTTGTGGCGATAATTAGAAGTTAAGAATATGCGAGTTTAACTATGGAATCAAAAAAACATCTTATGATTTACTCATGATATGATTTTCTTGGTCTTGTTGTGTATCATAATCTGCACTCCAGCTACATTTGTGGGTGCAGATATGATATCCAATCATGGATAAACATCTTGACATGAGTAAATCATAGGATATCTTTTATGTATATAATGTATAGAGTGCCAGATATGATATCCGATCATGAATAAAAATCTTTACATGAGCAAATCATAGGATATTTTTGTATATAATGCATAGAGTGCCAAAGTTAGTCCGTTTATAGCTTTAACATGTTTTCCAATAGGCAAGGTAGTATTGCCAAACTTTTGGAGGGGAGTGTATATTTATTGCTATAAGATAAAGAAATGGGACATCATGTACGCATATTTATCACAGGTAAAATTTACATCGAAAAATTGAAAATTAGCATGAATCTTTAAAGGAAATCGCAAGTCTAGAAATCTCCATGGCCATGTCCTTAAATGCCATTTTTTACTCATGAAAAAAACAGGTTCATGTCCAGTAAAAATTAGCATGAACTTTGTGAAAATCTCGGTGATATACATGTATTGAAAAACGTACTTTTTAAGGTGTTAAAAATATTAAACTTTCTAATTCAAAAGGGAATCTCCATGTGATTTAACTTGATACTTTTTCATGGAACAAGTTTTATGTCCATTAAGAAATAATATTGGTTTTATATACATTGGCAAATCCTGCACTATTATTTCTTAGATGAAATGTCAAATAATTTAAAATTGCGATGCTATTGTTTGAGTACATTGTATATAAATGGGGCTATAAAGGAAGAACGTCAGCAAATATTTACAAATGTACATGTACAGATATTATACAAAAAATGTTAATGCTTTTTAGACCTTTATTACTATATTAGGCGCCAAGTGCAATTTCTGTCATTTCTTACATATTTATGTGTAAAATAAAGCAAAAATTTATTAAAAACTATTTTTTGATTTTTGCATGATGTTGGTATGATGCTATTGGTTAAATGGACTCAATCAAGTAGTCGGTATAGCATGATTTTGGGCATTGCATTCCTTTTACCAAACCAAAAACGTTTGCATGGGAAATGTTCTCATATCACATGATACCATCCATGGGCCATGTACCATCTAGGGATAACTCCACAGATGGCGCTAGTGAAAAGGTAGAAGACAAAAAATCTAAATTTAAAATCGGGATGATGGTTGATTGAAATCAATATTTATCAGTGCAATCACCAGTGAAAATGTACAGATTTTATATTTTATTTTGTTTATCTCGTGTGTATATAATTTTACAAAAAGTATGGCGAAATGATTCGGTTCACTTCAAATATTTGACTTTTTGTGACGGTGGTCTTGAGTTTGAAATCTATTGAAAATTGTTTAAAATTCGGATAGATAGTGGAAAAAGCAGTCATATCTTTTTTTCTCCATGGGTGTTCTATGCAATTTTTGTTTTGATTTGAAAGGGGACATATGGACCTATCCCGTGGTGTATGGGGTTATGTACCGAAAATCCTTGTTTTTTCATAATCAATCCAAAGATTTCAATATTTTCACATTGGATTACATTACAGCATTTATCTGTGGAATTGTCCCCTAATGACTCGATAAGCCCTACATACACTAAAACAACGAACGGCATTGTGAGAAAAATAGCAAAAATTGTTCTTTCATTCGAAAAATGCCAAAAAGGTTTTAAAAGTTTAAAACAAAATAGGTTTGTGTTTTTACAAGGATGAATTTACAAGTAGCTGGCTTTCGTATGTTGAATTAAGATTTTTTGTCGATCTTTTAAGTTGTATTGAATTTAGAAGGTGTTATGTTAAGGATATACGGCATTCCCCTGGTATTAGTTAGAAGACAGCGTTAAACTAAAGGATTACCCCAGATAGGGAATATTATTCTTGTCATGACAAATTTACGATTTTTTCAGTTAAATTGTTTTCAAATGCAGCAGTTCTTCTACAACTTCTGGAAAACAAAACTATGCCCAGTGACGTCATTGGGAAATCTTTGCAATTGAATGAAAGGTTCTTTCAGTTTGAACGCTCGTTTTTTTTTTTACCTTGAATAAAATTGAAGCATCGTTGGAATTTGTGTACCATCTCATTAGACATTTCAGGAACCTGTCTTCGTATATCACAAACTTCCGAATCGATGAATAAAACATAAGCATTAAATACATATCTATATGTAGGTGTATGTTGCCTGTAAATGCCATAAGATAATGAAATGGGACATAATTTAATTATCCTCTTTATCTGTTTCATGTCAACAAAATAAATTAAAATGATCATGGATCTCTGAAGGCAATCTAAAACTTAATTCCGTGTATATTGTTTATTGTTTCTTTTATTTCCGAAAATTAATCGGAGCAACAAACATAATAATTACATAAAATTAGGATCCCAATCGCATTATTCTTTACTTATATTATTTATTTATTCTTTTATATTTATTAATATCTCATATCAGGCCGTATTCAAAAAGCACTGAAAACTGAGATATTGCTCCCAATATTTAGCACTCTCTATCCCTTCTCCTTCCTTCAAATTGACAAGTAATTATAACGAGAACAATTTTTTCATAACTTCCTGCAACTTCGTGACATTTCATTATTCCCCGGATTCAATTTCCCGTAGAGGTTGTGTATATTTGCGACTTGTAGGTGGGATAGCGTTATAACATGACAATGTACCGTATTTGAGCTTGACACCGTCGTCTAAAGGAGGCCTTTGTACATGCATTGTCAATAGAACATTCTTTACATATCCGCCAGAAAATAATCTGAAATGGTTCGCAAATATACTATCAAATAAGCACGGTGTTGTGTTACGGTGGAGGTTTTTACATCGATGGGAGATTTGGAATTGTTTTACTTGCCTGGGCGTACGTCAGAATGGTTTAATTTTCTCGAACGTTTTTTTTCTTGAAATAGATAGTTTCGCTCGTGATGGTGTAAGATCAATCATTTTTTCTTCATTTTCAGCATTTCTCAATATTTTTAAACTTGTTATCACAAATATTTGAAAAATCACGAATCAGAAAATAGAGTGGGGGTAAAACAGACCTGGAATGACCTAACAAATTGCGTCATTTGGGACCCGGGATTTGGGATTACGTTTTCATGGCATTAAGCAACCTTGTGACGGACCCCATGATACCTGCAATTTGCAATAACAAGAGTAGCAAATTAGTGTAACCGGGGCTTGTATTTCATCGGATCAAAACTAAAGTATATCTCGATTCATCTTATGGTACAGAATATACATTGTTATTTAACAATTTTTCTGATGTACTCCAAAATATAAAAGATTTTACCCTTAGAACAGAAGACATGTCTATCTGTCCCCCTGAGTCTTCATGTAGAGGGGGTGGGGGATGTAGAACGAACCTAATTTGCAAAATCAGGTATCACCCTCCAAAAATGTGGCCAAAAATCAAAAAGTGTGAACCGAATATACAAAAAGCAGGAGGGGATAAATAATTCTGATTAATACCAACACCTGACCCCGAAAAGGGCACCGTATATAATATCATTTCAGGATAGAGATCTAGGGTTGAATCGAAACAAGGGGAAGGATAAGCGTATATTATTTCTAACATTACGTTTTATTTTATGTTAAATAAAGATGTCGCTTCAAACAAAAACGGCTTGTTAAGCCAAGATTGCATTGCACCAGCGTTCAATTTCCACCACGGATTATATATAATTTCACAAAGGACTTCCATTAATCCATTACCACATCTTTGGTATTAAAATATATAAATAAAATAATACAACACAAAACAAATATTGACGCCTATTTTAAGACTGAACTTGACCACCGGTTGCCCTCCCCCGGGAATGTCCTCAATCGGGTGCATTTGCGGTCGTTGGTAAGCGCAAGTAGTCTAAAGGAAATGAGTAATATTTCAGAATTTCTTAATTTAGACCGAAGCAGTAAAACAAATACATCAAAGTTCCTTCATTATCCGAAGGTATGTCCCATGAAATCTTGTTTCCAATATCGATCTCTTGAACTCGTTTGCGGTGAATTTTAAATGGGTATTTAAGAATTATAAAAAGGAGTGGGTATGAAAGAACAATAATTTAATTATAATGGAATTATGGGTGGGGTGTGCATTTTAATAATATATTGGGAATATGCAGTTGAAATGAAAGCATGACATGGTTCATCTTGTGTCATTTTGAATTTTTGCTCTTTTAAACAGCGATGTAGTATCATACTACAAGTTATACAATTTGCGTCAACAGAAATGGTACGTTGCATCCATCATCGTCGTATCTTCACATTATGGGCGTAGCCAGGAAGGAAGCGAGGTAACTGACTAAACCAAAGTTACATGAAATATTTCTTGACGTTGCTTCGAATAAAAAGAAGAGGATTATGTCTCATACAATATCCCCTGGCTTTACGCTTTGGTTTTCCCATTTAGATTGCCTTGGTTGTTATTGGATCCTTCATGTAGCTATGGCCATGTACTCGTCTCAAATATTTCCCATGGTCAATGTCTCTGAAAACCAAAATTGAATTCTTCAGCTCTGAATAGGAAGAGTGTACACATTTTCCACGGCCAGGTGCACCGCAAAAACGCTAGAGTGGGGACCTTCCGACTTCCCCCACGTTGAAAGCACCAATATTTACATTAAGCTTTGGATGTATCGTTTCATTTACTTCTACCGTAGTGTCAATACAGTGAAGAATAGTCCCGGACTTAAAAGTGTCGTCTGCTCATGTAGATTCCTTCATTTCTTTCTAAAATTTGAATGAAGTGTCTTATTTTCCTGCATTTGTATACAATTTTGAATATACGCTTTAATCCTATTTACTTTATTCCTCGCCGATTCCACTCTTTAACCCATATTTTTGCATTTTAAAACATGGCCGCCATTACGTTTTACACTCAAGGAGCCCTTTTAGAGGCATTCACATATTACTTTGGTCAGCAAACAAGTCCATGACTTCCCCTTCAGGTATGGTTATCTGA